GCGTTTCATACTAACCGCGATGACGCGGTGCAATACTTGACCTGAAACGCGCTCGAAAATCTCACGGACGACTTGGAGTCCGCGGAGTAGGAGTAGCTGGCCATCGACGAGATTTCCACCTGTGACGCCGCGCCGCTGGCCGCGGTCAGTCGCCGCATGCAGCAGGCGGCCCGAGTTTCGGCGCCGGCGATTTCGGCGCCCGCCGCCGGGCGACAAGGGAAGCACGGGCGCGCTCTCGATGGGCGACTTCGCCCAGTTGTCGCCCGCGCCGAGGACGAGCTCGATGGCGGGGGTGCCCCGTCGTCGAAAGCGGCGGAGCGGCTGTCATCCACGGCGCACGCCCGGAGGCAAGTGTTCGACGCTTTCGAGGGCGCGATTCGTCTGCGGCGCAGATACCATCCAAAAGGAATCGATGTTTTCAAAGACTCCACCATGCGACTCCTGGATCCCGCCACAACCACAGAGGATTACGCTCTGTGGAAAACGCGCGAGGTGGACGACGCGAGCCCCGAAGAGGCTTGCCCGTGGCCGGGCGGGGAACACTTGCTCCGCGAAGCCGTGCTGCCCGCGCCGGAGAATGCGCCTGCGGGCAAGACCAGGAGGAACCAGCTTGCTGCAAAGGCGCCGCTCCATGGCGAGCCGGGCCCTGCCAGCTCGGGCCATGCGGTTGTTCGGCGCGAGGCGCGCCATAGTCGTGAGCGCGGTGAAAAGCGCAAGCAAAGAAATTCCGCAACGTGCACAAAACAACGCACTTATGCGTCGGAGCGTGTGCGAGGCTGTCGCAAAATCGGTCGCGGGGCGTCGGGGCCGCACCTCTGGGTCTGACAAATGGAACTCGGAGAGTCGCAGTTGCGATCTTGCACGAGGCGCCAGGCGAGCAGCGCGGGGACGGCAGCGCGCTGGAAGGACATGTCGTTCCCAGTTCGCGGCCGCCTGGCAACTACCCGAAAAGTCTGGCGGCCTGCCCCCTGCCCCCTGCCCGACATCGTCGCGGTCCATTTCCCGGACTACGCTGGCCCGCCACGTTCTGTCCCTTGTGTGGAGGTCGTGCGCATGAGCGCCAAGTCTGTCACCATTCGCGCAGGGGCCCCACTCCGACTGGCTTGGGCCCTCACGATGCACGAATCTCATTGGACCACCGCGCGCGAGGGGTGCGTCGCATCCTTCGCCGGCGCTCGGTTGTCTTGCGCGAGCAAGCTGGGGCTTGCCATCACGGCGTGGACACGCGCGACGCGCTGGGAACGCATGGTTTTCCACAAACTCCCGCCCATCGAAGACTTCGCGGCTGCGCGCCTAACCCGCGACTTCGAGGCCAGGTCTGCCTCCGAGGCCAAAGCGGACGCTTTGTGTCTGGGATATCTGGCACGGCGGGCACGACGCCGGAGGCGCTCGCGCGAGCGCACGAAGACCACCTCAAGCAGGCGACCCGCGCACTGGAGCAGAGGGAGCCGTCTGACAACGAGATCTCCGACTTGCGGGCAATGCTCGCCATCGACGGCGCGGCGCCAATCTCTGATAGCGTTGCGAAGTACTGCTGTCAGAAGTCCGGTCGCCAGGGCGTCGGGTCGCGGGCCTTCGCGGCCTCGTTCCGCTCCGAGGAGAAAGGCAAGACCAAAAAGCCGGGGCCCGAGGAGGGCCCGAGCGAGGCAGGCGACGGGTCGGTGACCAGGCTCTGCCAGTCATCGGCGCCCTCGGAAACTTGCGGCTCCAAATGCTCTCCGGCGCAGGCCCCAACTCGGCCCGGCAAGGCAGTCCCGACGCAGCGCGAAGACTCTCCGGGCGAAAACTCTGCAGCGCAGACCATGCAGGAAATGGGCTTCCATGCTGATGACATCGCCCGCGCGCTGGAGAGCTCGTCGTTCTCGTTCGGCAGGGCGCTCCTGCTCCTACTGAACGGCATCGACGACACGCGCACCAAGCAGAACAACGAGGCCCGCTTTCGACGACACCTGGGTCAGTCTGCGAAATCCATCGACACCCAGAAGTTGGCAAACTTGTCCGTGTTCGAACAGCACAAGCAGCGCGCTCAAGATCACTGCCAGCTCAGCGTGACGGCATGGGATTTCGGTCAGTGCGCAGGTAGAACCTTTGCCGCGTGTTTCTGGCTCTGCTTGGCGGCTGGAAAGCAGCGAAGGGGTTCTGGCCCGGGCTCTGCCAGATGACCACCCCGTGTGTTCGTCCTTGGCGAAGGTGCGCGCCAGGGGGGCGCCGGCGCGCGCGGCCCCGAGCCCGCGGCACACCGACTTGGGAGCGTGCGCCGAGGCGCTGCGGACGTACTTTTGCGGTGGCGCAGCCGCAGCCATGACGCGGCCACATCTCATGGCCAAACTTTACACGGCGTTTGCTTGCCTCGATGTGCGCGGCCCCGCGCGCACCGACAACGTGTGCAGGAACTGGGTGAATCGGTTGTATTCTTCGGAATACGCTGACGAGCTTGTTGTCATGGCCGTCGCACTTGAACTGCGAATCCGCATTTGCTGCGTTCCGTATATGTTAGTTTCTGCAGTCTCGCCATGGGCGCCGTCCACATATGGCGCTGCTTCGCTTCCGGGAGGCGCGGGCGACATTATATATGTTGGCAACAACGATGTCCACTATGTGTACTTGTCGCCGCGCGGCTGAGTGGTACCAAACTCTGCTAGTGCTCCGAACAAGCGTGGGAGTGCAATAGGGGCGTGCTTTTCCTCGAGTGCGCAGCCGCTAGAGCATGCGCCACCAAAGTGGACACGGGCTTTCACAAAGTGACGCTGGCATCGCGCCATGGAGCATCAGCATGCATCAAAAACCATCATGTCGCATGGCCACCACCATCACCGCCATCACCACCACGACCACCAACCATCATCACTAACACTACCACATAGATAAATATATATGGGCACATCTATATGTATACCTGTAAATATCGGGATAGCAGGATCGATATAACTATGTATAGATCGATCGTTAGATTGGCAGATACATGTGTGTATATATATATGTATGTGTATACAGACACATCGCTAAATCTATAGGTAGGTGGATCGACAGACACACAGACATATAGACAGATAGATATAATAGATCGATAGATAGATGGGTAGATAAATAGATAGGCAGATGTGCGCGACAATGACAGTTGAATAAACCACCGATGAACCCAGAGCCATCGCAAATCGACCGCCTCCCACTTCCCCCCACAACCTCCTTAGAACCCGTAGGGTGGTCCTACCGGTATAGTGCTACATGTGTAGAGAAAGTTTTGTGGTACAACATGAATCAATTATTTGGTGCAGGCAATGTGGTGCAAGGTAAGTGGTGTATGCTATGTAGATACTGAAGTAACTGATGTGGTACAAGCAATGTTGTGCCAGGTCTGTGGCGCAAGCTATACAGTGCAAGCTACCTGGTAGGCAGCGCGAGGCGTCGACGAGGCGCCCACGAGCGGGCACCAGGCGGACACACAGGCGCCCGCGAAGCGCCCAGAGGGGCGGGCACCACATGCACCACGCAGGCACTTGCCGAAACCTGGCCACGCCGACCCAACGCACGGGGCGCCCACAAGACACCCCACGGGCGGGCACCAGCCTAGAGGCCTCCTAGATGGGGTCGGAGTAGATGGGGTCGGAGGATCGCGCCGTATCGCCGATACATCGGCGATACATCGCCGATGCATCGGCGATGCATCGGCGACATCAGCGATGCATCGGTGCATCGGCGACGCCAGCGTGGAGGAAATCGGGATCCGCATTGAGCCGCATCGCGGATGCATCGACGATGCGGCGCGATCCTCCAAGCCCATCTACTCGGACCCCATTTAGGTGGCCTAAATAACCGGGCACCACGCGAACAATTGCGCCACACCCGTCCAAATACTCCCGCACCCAAAGCGAGAGCCCTAAGTACAACAACTGTCTGGTGAAAAAGAAACTCTGGGCAATCTGCGCGGGCCTCCTCAAGAGTCCCCGCGAACGGTGACTTTGATCAACCCGGACGCTGGCGCCCCAAACAAAAACCGCAGCCGCAAGTCGAGACACGATCCTCCCCTCGCACTCTCCAGCTAGATGCTTCAAAATCCTGGTTCGCTAAGTCCTGGCTTCCAGGGCGATGACTCAAAGGAGCAGCATAAACTTTCGGAGCTCCGTGCGGATTTGTTTTGATCGGCGCCGGGCCCCCTCGCGCAGAGCTCCGAACGCCTACGTTAATGGGGCGAGAATGGCGTTTGATAACAGCGTCTCAAGATACATTCAAGGATTTGCGGGCTATCTAGCGGCCCTTTGTCCTGCAGCCCGTATGGAACAAGAGAAACGGGACATCTTGGAAATCCTGGAACGTATTTCTATCATGGCATGACCTGTTGCTCCTCTGAATGCACGCAGACTCTTCAAATAAAACGTACGTGCCGCATTTCCTTCTCCGGCTCTGCGGCGACCCTGACAATGAATCCGCTGTGCTTCGGGCGATTTCGCAAGCAGGGTAAAAGCATCCGCCATAAGCAAATGGCTTTGATGCCGAACTCCGCCCTACTTTGCCGTCGCTGCTTCGGCCATAAGCTTGAAGAAATATCCGCCCAAATCCTCTGAAACAGAGATTTCCGCCATAATTCTTGGGGAAACCAAAAATTAATGCTACCGCTACTCCCCAGACTTTTTCTGGGGTGCGTTCTGGCCAGGATTCTGAAGCAAATTCAGCGTTGGCGACGAGGGCCTCCCAGGAGGCGCACAAAAAGGAAAACTAGGCAAGGGCAGCAGTATGGGTACCTTTTCCTCCTCCGAATACGTTCGCCTCGTTCTGGGTGCGTTTCCGACACTGCGAAGGAGGCAGGAAATCTGCCAAAGTGCAGCGGATCCAGCGTCAAGGAAGAATGAATAGGCCCAGGGACACAAAACCCAGAATTCCCAATCTCTTCCAATTTCTTCTGGAGTTCCGTCTTCCCCCACACTTCCCATACTTTCCCACAGCATTCCTGGGACACGACGATTAGTTGTGTCGATGTGTCTCTTCCCCTCCTGAGAGAAGACCTTCACGGCCACGCGCCCCTGGATGCCGGGGACCGTGCAGCTGTACGTCTCGCTCCGCTCGTCCAGGTCCTTCCAGAGGAACGAGTGCACCTGGTCGGCGAGAAGCCGCGGGCGGGGGCTAAATGGGGGATGACGGAATGGGGGGTGAACAAAAAGACCCCTGAGGAGACCCTTTAGGGGCCCCTTTTGGGCCCCTGCTGGCTCCGGGGCCCCAAAGAGCCCCTATGGCCCTTTGCTTCACCCCCCATTTGGGCCACCCCCCGCATCACCACCCGCCCGAAAAAGACGCGGGTCCCTCCCCGAGGTCTGGGCTTCGGGCATGTTCTTCACAGCGGACAGTTTCGCCCTGCTTCGTGCCCCGGGGCAGGTCGATGCGGCTCGAAAAATGCAGCCGGAGGAGGGTCTGGGGCTCTGCTCGTGACTTTCGCGTGTTGCATCTTCAGGGTCACGCTTAGGTCGGTCACCTCCTCCTACAGGCGGATTTCGGACGACAAATAAAACATAGTCAAAAGATACACCATAATAATCAAACACATGATCAAAAACATAGTAGACAGATAGTCCCCATACGAGTTTTGGAATATTGGGGCGCATTCCTTCTGTAGAGGGACATGCCCGACTTAGGGCTACGCGAGAAGCCACAGCGACCTCACGCCGCGGCTGGCGCGGGCCGCTGGCGCGGCACAGCTCGCGCGCGGCACCACGCGGGAAGCTTACGCTCGTGGATGCCGTGGCAATGGACACCCTCACAATCCTACCATTGATCTGAAGATTTGTAATTAGCATGTTTGAACAGGTTCTAAAAAGTATAAATCATGCGTTTTACTTGTTCAAGACATGATTTTAACAGGTTTTGGACATCTAGAAATGATTTGGCAACATGCTTCCTCTCCGTTGATCGTCGTCCACAAGCTTACTCCAGATTCCGCATAAAGGGAGGAGGGTCTCATTTCGGGGGGGGTCTCTTCCAGGCTATCTTGGAGGGCCTGGGGGGTCTGGGGACGATGTTTTGGAGGGTTCTCCCACGGGGGAGGTCTGAAATGACTTGTCTTGGAGGGTCCAGACCCCCTCCCTTTTATTACGAAATCTGGAGTACGCGCGAATGTCCGCGCTGTCGACCCCTTTGTCCCCTCCCTCGCCCACCTGGTCGAGCTTCGAGAGCAGCCTGCCGTCCATGGGCGCGCGCGGGCGCGCCCCGAGTCGGGCCTCCGGGGCGGCCGCGCGCGCTCGGGGGAATTTAACAGGCGAAGAACGGTATAAAATAAACTTTTTCGCCGTCGGGGACACCTGCCCCTGCGCGGCTGGAAAGTTTATACCCTTACGGTGGCACCGTAGGGGTATAAACTTTCCAGCCGCCCAGGGACAGGCGCCCCCGACAGAGAAAAAGTTTATTTTATACCGTTCTTCGCTCGCTGAGGAATGGACCCCCCCCGAAGATTTGGAGGTCGGAGCTCCGCCCTTTCGCAGGGGGCAGGCGGGCTCTGGGGGCCGCGGGTCCTGGGCCCGTGGTGCCTGCCCCCACGACGAGCTCCTCGTCCGGGGTCGGCTTCTGACAGCTCCGGGGCCCGGGGAGGGCCCCGAGAGCTCGAAAACGAAGAAGAACCTCACTCAGGGAAACGAGCAATGACATAAACAGAACAACTCAGAGGTCCACGCGGAATTCTCGGATCGGCGCCGGAGGCGCCGCCAGGGGTCTCAAACGCCGATCCGAGAAATCCGCGCGGACCTCCGAGAGTATGTAAAAGTCATTGTTCGCTCCCCTAGTGGAGGGCCCCGAGAACTCGGAAACGAAGAAAAACCTCGTTAGCCGCTTCCCTCGGGGAACGAAAAATGATATAGCCATAAAATCTCAGATGTCCGCGTGGATTTCTCCTATCCGCGCTGGGCCCCCCTGGCGGCGCCTCCGGCGCCGCCCCTGGCGCGCTCCACACACCAGGGAAGGGTCTCCAGCGCCGATCCGAGAAATCCGCGCAGACCTTCGAGTTATTATGCTTATGTCATATTGTTCGCTCCCATAGTGGAGGGCCCCGAGAGCTCGAAAACTAAGAAAAGCCTCATTACCCGCTTCCCTCAGGACCCGTTTCTCACTGCACAGCGGATTTTTGCGTGGATTTCTGTCAACGCAAAACCCCGCCGAGCAAAAAACGAAGTGTATTTCACGTGGATGTTTTTTAGTCTTCATGCCTGGCCAAAAAAAGTCCGCACGAAATGCACATCGAAATCCGGAACGAAACTCTCCAGGACACTCCGGGCCCATCATATTACCCTCCGAGCGAAATCCGCTCTGCGATGTTGGCGCCGTGACGCTTCCCACCTGGCGAGCTCTGGAGGGGGAGAGCGGGCGGCGCGCAAATCGCGGGGTCGCATGCGAGGGGGGCGGCCTTTCCGAGAGAGGGCGGCGGGCTCCGTATAGATGGCGTCTTTTGGCTTCGTCGGAGAGCCCGGCCTGGGGCGTACGTCAAGTTCGGCTTAGCTCGAGCATGTCCACTCTTCTGAAAAAGATTAAGAGTAGTCCAAAACATACTCAAAAAAAATCAGAAAGAATAATAAACAAAATCGTCCCCCGACTGTTTTACGACTATTCTTGAACATTTCCCCTGTAGAGGGACAGGCCCGACTTAGAGTTACGGGAACGAAGACTGACATAAACATAAAAACTCGGAGGTCCGCGCAAAAATTTCCCGGATCGGCGCTGGACCCCCCTGGCGGCGCCTCCGGCGCCGCCCCTCGCGCGCTCCGCGCGCCTAGGAAGGGGGTCCAGCGCCGATCCGAGAAATCCGCAGGGACCTCCGAGTTTGTATGTCTACGTCATTGTTCGTTCACCTAGGAATGGCTCTGGGGTAAGAGCGCTGAAAACGGCCCATGGGGAGGGAAATGTGACTATCCAGCTGGGTATGTTCCCCAGCAGAACCGTGGAAGAACCCCCCCCTCTACGAACCCTCGACTGGAGGCTTCTAAGAAAGGTTCTCAGAAGCCCGAAGGGCTTCCAAGAAACCCTCTGCTTTCTAAGAAGGCACCCGCCCTCTTAACAGAACGCCGCCCCCTCGGGCCACCTCCATGTGCCTGTCGCCCAATGAAAATAAACAAGAAACTTCAGCATCGGAGGGAAAATACCTCCAGAATTAACATCGGGCCTCCTTAAATCAGCGGGCGAAGAACGGCATACAATAAACTGTTCCGCCATCGGGGACGCCTGACCCCCAGGCGGCTACAAAGCTTATACGTACCCCTAATTACGTGGCACCGTAGTGGTATGAACGTTGCAGCCGCCTGTGGAGCAGGCGTCCCCGACGGCGGAAAAGTTGCATTCGTCGCCACCCCCCCATAAAAAAAAAGAAGCGACAGCACAAACGTGAGCTTTCGGGGCAACGCGCAGACTTCTTGGAGCGGCGCTCGACCCTACGCCCTGTCGCGCCGCGCCGGAGGCGCCTTCAGAGCGGGGCCGGCGCCGATCCAGGAAATCCGCGCGGGTCTCTGACGATCCAGGAAATCCGCGCGGGCCTCCGAAAAACTATGCTGAGAGGATGCCAGGACGAGGATAGAATCGGGTGACGAAAAATCGAGAATGTCTGAGATCCAGAGAGCGGGTAGCCCGCTCCTTGCTTGCTCCTCCCCCCCTCTTGTGCATGCTTGTGTTACTATTCGGGATCCTCCCTTATGGATGGGTATCTGAGTAAGGAGGAGGAGGAAGAGGAGGAGGACGGGTCGCCTAAACCCTTCGGAGAAACTCTCCACCCAGAGCATCGGAGAAACAACCAAAGTAGGGCGGATCCGACATCGGGGGGGGGGGGGCCTCGGCGGGGGACCAAACCCTGAGCGGCGGCTGCGGGTTGCGGGCCGGGGCACTCCCGTGCCTTGCCCGGCGCGGCCGCATCTGAGCCCTGTAGCCGCGGCGGCACGGCGAGCATGCGAGCTCGGCGAAGGCGACAGGGAGGGTCAGCCGCGAGCCTGGAGCATGTTACAGTCGGACCTGGGCCAGGAGAACATCCCTCAAGAAGGTGAGACCCCCCGTCGGCCAAAACACACAGAAGATCCAAGGATAACCTCCCCAGGATGCACAAGAGCATCCGACAAACACGAATAATAGTGGGGCACCCTCCCCGAATCGACCTCGATCTTATACCTCGGCCCGGCTGTACGGTGTGGATAAGGAACCATTGGATAAGGAATCCAGGGTCTGGAGTCTGGTGGAACTCCAATCGTGAAATCCGCTGTCCTCATCGCAGTGGAGTGGCCATGGATAAGGAGTCATCCAAGAACTGAAGCATTATGGGCACAGCCCTGAACCAATGCCCCCACCGTAACCACGATTGGTCTTTAATACCTACACATCCAATAATGGGCAAATAATGCCAGCAGCCCTCTGGGCGTGAGTGGTTTAGAGAATGTCCTCTTCCGTCTTGCCTCTTCCCGTTCTGGGAGGGGTTTACCCCTCCTCCTCCTCCTCCTCCCCCCTCCACCTGGGTCTGGACGGGAAGTTTCGCGATAGGTTGAAGCGTCCAGGATGGTCTCGGCGAAAAGGCCAAATCATTGATCGATTCTACATAAGTTTCGGACACATCTTGGTCTCTGGGGGAGGGGGGTAGTACGGCTCGTCATTTGATCGATCTCCTCCAAGATGGCCCCAAAATAGCTCCCGAGGCTCCCCAAGGTGTCCCAAGACGGCCCCGAGAGGTACCCAGGAAGCCCAGAGAGGCCCCCTCAAGAGACCCCCAAGAGGCTCCCGAGAGGCCCCCAAGAGACCCCCAAAGAGGCCCCCAGAGGCCCCCCAGAGGCAGCCAAGACGCCCCAAGAGGCCCCCGGAACTGCCAAGAGACCCCCCAAACGCCCCAAGAGGCCTCCAAGAGAGATCCTGCACGATCCGGCGCTCCGACTGACCCCCGTTGGCACTGACCCCCGTCGCTTGGGCGGACGGCCGGGCCCGCGCCACTCCGGCAGGGGGGTGGAGACAGGCCTGTCGAGGCCGTTCTCGGTGAGGGGCAGCGATTGGGGGGGGTGCGGGCAAGATGCGCATCCGTATCCGCTGCGTCTTGGGCTTTCCGGGAAGGGGGTGCCAAAAGGCACAGGCGCAGTGAACATGCACAAAGATCCAGCATCTGGGGCCAATATGATTGATCCATATCCACTGCGCCTCGGGTGTCGTGGGAAGGGAGCCTGAAACTCCTAGATGCATTGGATACGGCTCAGGGGGAGGGGGGCATCGACCTGGAGTCGGCGATGCATCGCCGATGGATAGGCGATGGGCTCTCGACAGCGAAATCCTGGGATGGGAAGGCTATCAGGCCCCTATCGCCCTGTCGCCGATCGATGGACGATTGGTGGTTGATGCATCCCCCCCTGAGCCTATCCCTCTCTAAAGCTGCATCTGACGAGGTCACTCTGGCGAAAGAAGCATTTGGGTCTGTCGAGAGCGTCCTTGGGAGGCTCTGCGGCTTACCTGGTGCCGGCACGGGGCGGTCTTGGAGCATCTTGGGGGCATGCTGGAGGCATCCTGAGCTGCACTGTCCGACATTGGAGGCCGTCTTGGGTGGACGTTTTGAGCCCTGCGTGCAGTCGACCCCCGCCCCAACGCCCAGCCCCGGGTTCCTGGCCGTCCCAGCTCGCGCGGCCTAGGGGACGACGAGCGCCGGTCCAGCGGCGGGCTCCTCCTGGGCCGCGGGGAGGCTCGGCGAGGAAGACGATCGGCCAACGGTCCGGCCGGCGAAGCGACACGCCGAGCAAACGTCCCCGACTGCAGAGCCAAGGGGGTGAGCACACTGGGCAGACAGCCGACGGCGGCGCGCACGCGCTGGGTGGCGCGAGGGGGGCAGCCTTCTGAGAAGGCGGCGGGGGGGGGCTCTCGGGGGGCAGGGGCGTCCTCTTGGAAGAGGGCCCGGGAGCCTCTGCGAAGGCCTCTCGCAGGCCGAGGGGGGGCCCGCCCTCGGAGGAGGCCCCCCCCCCCGGAGCTCCTCGGAGCCCGGAGGGCCGCCCCCCCCTGGCAGGCCCGCGGCGGGCTCTTGCCCTGCTGCGGAGCCTCGGCTCTCCGGCCTCTGGCGCCGCGCGGAGCGCGGGGAGCCTCCAGCGGCCCCCCCTTTCTCGGGCGTGCCCAGCGGCCATCGACGCCAGCCGTCGCGTGGAACTCGCGACGGGGGCTGCTTCCAGCCGCAGAGAAACAGAAACGGCACCCTCGATGAGCTGACCTGGCCAGCGAAGCCGCTGAGTGAATGCACCCAGGGAAGCCATCGAACAGGGCAAGGCTGCGTAGGAAACGCCCAGGGCCACTTAGCAAGCGCCAGTTATGAGGCTCGGGGTGGTTCGGCCTTCCTTGAAGCTGGTCCCAGGGCCTGGAGCGAGCCCCCAAAAGGGTGCTTGTAGATACCCTCCAAATTTCTGCACTCACGCTGGCATCGCCGCCGCGTCGAGCCTGTCATAAGCCACCGAGCAGTCCGCCCACCCCCCTGAGGCAGCACCTGCGACACTCGACAACGACGACGACGACGACGACGACGACGACGACGACGACGACGACGACCACGACGACGACGACGACGGCGGCGGCGACGGCGGCGGCGGCGGCGGCGACGGCGGTAGCGACGGCGGTAGCGGCGGTGGTGACGACGACGACGGCGGCGGTGGCGGCGGTGGCGACAGCGACCGCGGCGGCGGCGCGGCGGCGCGACGAAGGCGGCGGCAGACCCTGACATCCGACGTCTGTTTCTTCAATACAAGGTCCCTCGATGACTCGACCCTTCTCCCAAAGGCCAGGGCTTAAACCTAAGTCGTTGTTGCCAGTCCCAGGGCCCGAGACTCTCCTCGGAGGCAGAGAGATACAAAAACCCTCGCCGTGTTTGATTTTTCCAACGCGTTGGATGTAAGGGATCTGGGCGGTCTCCCAACCAAAAATCTGGCCCCGGGTGGCTGTGCAGGACGACCCGGGCACCCCCTGGAACACTCTCAGCGAGGAACAGCTACTGGAGAGCACCCCGAGAGTGGAGAATCTCCTGGAACCTCGAACCTCGAGCCGACGAAAATGCACGAAAACCTCGAACCAAGAAATCTGGCGGCTTTGTTCCAGACATGGGCCCCCGGACCTCTAGAACCCTTCCCCACGGCAAATTGTTCATCCCGAGTTGCTTTCTGACGGTCCCAGCCCCGAAACCCACCCCCAGAGCCCGAAACTTAGGAAAACTGGCCGCCTCGATGAACGGGGGGGCATGGCAACTCCATTCCCGTACTTTGCGTGGGGTTGTCGGATGGACCGAAAATGTCAAGCCACACTGGAACTGTGGGGGATGTGTGACGGGAGGTGTCCATCCTCGATACCCCCCAGTCAGAAGAGCGAGCGAGCGAGCGCGCCAGTGTCCGCCCAGAGGTGGGGCCCACATGGCCAGCGCGGGCGGGCCTGAGAGCCCAGGGATCGTTGACAAAGTCGGCGCGTGGAGGTAATTTATGGAGGGGAGCGCGTATGGGGAAGGTGCTAGAGATCCGGCATCGGTGTCCACTGGGTTTGGTCGCATGTGGATGCCTGTATCTGGTCGGGTGGGGATTGGCGGTTGGCTGTTGGAGGTGGAGAGGTGGAAATCTGGATGCTGGGAGTCAGAATGGAAGGTGGAAGTCGGAGTGCAGAAGGTGGAGCTCGTAGAAGAGGCCTGAGATCAGGCGTATCTCTTGGGATTCGGCGGTCGAAGGTCGGAGCGTGGAAAGCGGACATTGTGCTGAGGGAGGCGGCGATCGTGAGTCGAAGCTGGATGTCGGGTGCTGCTGGCGGGAATTGCTGGTCGAACGCTGGTGCCTCCTCCTCCTCCTCCTCCTCCTCCTCCTCCTCCTCCTCCTCCTCCTCCTCCTCCTCCTCCTCCCCTGGGGAGTCGGACGCGGAAGGTGGAAGTCTGAGTGCGGAAGGTGGAGGTCCCAGGTTGAAACTGGAGGTCGGGTGTTGCTGATGGGAGTTGGAGGTCGAGAGCTGGAGACTGGGAGTCGGAAGGTGGAAGGCGGATAAAGTGGATCGCGGGCGGGCCGCCCAGAGAATAACAAAACACAACAAAAATAGATCGGCTCTTGAATTAGGAGGGCGCTTGAAGTAGATTGGGATCTGGGAATCCGACCATACCTAATTTCAACGATCGGCGTGTAGGGGTGCGTCCGCATGGACCCATGGGAGTGCATCCCCGAGTTCCTCCCCTCCCCTGCGGCCCAAGCTTTCGGGGGAAAGTCGGGGATTGGGAGCGATAAGCCGCCCGAGCACGATTCTTCCGAGCCGCAGAACGTCTGAGAACCTCAAGCCTCGAACACTTGAGCAGGGGCCAACCGTCTCGGCACTCCTATAGACCTACCACGAAACGCTCTCGGAACAAAGGAATGTTCGAAGAAAACAGAGCTCGTAGAGCACAACACCTATGCATTAAACCGAGGTTGCCTCGGTCAGAAATGCCCTGATAACACTTCGTGTAAACCCCAACAAATTATTAGAACATGATTTGGTGGGGGGCCTATCGGTAAGTCGGGAAGCGTCGCCACTGCTTGAGACACCTCGAACGCGGCGGCGTGCCGAAGGGCCCCGGGCGGGCCGTCGCCGAGCCTCGACGGGGGGCTTCGGCAGCCCGCGGCTGGCAGCGCCGTCCTCCTCCTGCACGCGGGGGGGCGGCCGCGCGCTGCGCCGCGGGGACGTCAGCGCGGTCGTCGTCGTCATCATCGTCGCCGTCGTCGTCGTCGTCGCCGTCGTCGTCGCCGTGGTCGTCGTCGCCGTCGCAGTCGCCGTCGCCGCCGCCGCCGCCGTCGTCGTAGTCGTCGTCGTCGTCGTCGTCGTCGTCGCAGTCGAGGCGTCGTTGTCAAGGTGTTGTCGTCGTCGCCGCCAGCGCTGCAGTCGCAATTGCCGCTGCCACCGCCGCCACTGCCGTTGTCGTCGTCGTCGTCGTCGTCGAGACCGTTGAGGCCGTCGTCGTTGCCGTCGCCGTCACCGTAGTCGTCGACGTCATCTTCGCGGTGTCGTCGTCGTCCTCGTCGTCGTCGCCGCCGCCACCGCCGCCGTAGCCACCGTCGTCGTCGTCGTCGTCGTCGTCGTCGTCGTCGTCGTCGTCGTCGTCGTCGTCGTCATCGTCGTCATCGGGGCGTCGTCGTCGAAGGCGTCGTCGTCGTCGAGGCGTTGTCGGGCGTCGTCACCGTCGCCGCCGCCGCCGCCGCCGTCGTCGTCGTCGTCGTCGCCGTCGTCGTCGTCGTCGTCGCCGTCGTCAAGGTGACGTCGTCGAGGTGTCGTCGTCGTCGTCGCCGCTGCCGCCGCCGCCATCGCCGCCGTCGCCGCCGCCGACGCCGTCGTGGTCGCGCTGTCGTCGTCGTCGCCGCCGCCACCGCCGCCGCCCACTTCGCCGTCGGCGCCGTCGTCGTCGTCGCCGCCGCCGTCGTCGACGTCGCCGTCGTCGTCGTCGTCGCAGTCGTCGTCGCGTCGTCGTCGTCGTCGTCGTCGGAGTCGTCGTCGCGTCGTCGTCGTCGTCGTCGTCGTCGTCGTCCGTCGTCGTCGTCGTCGTCGTCGTCGTCGTCGTCGTCGTCGTCGTCGTCGTTCGTCGAGCCGTCGTCGCCGTCGCCGTCGCCGCTGCCGCCGTCGGCGGCGCCGCCAACGTCGACGCCGCCATCGTCATCCTCGTCGTCGTCGTCGAGGTGGCGTCGGCGAGGTGTCGTCGCCGCCGCCCCACAGCCGCAATAACCGTCGCCGTTGCGGTCGACGACGGCGCCGTCACCGCTGCCAGCGCCGCCGCCACCGCGGTCCTCGTCGTCGTCGTAGTCGACGTCGTCGCCGCCGCCGTCGCCGTCGTCGTCGTCGCGGTGTCGTCGTCGTCGTCGCCGCCGCCACCGACGTCGTTGCCGCCGTCGCCGCCGCCGACGTCGTCGTCTCGGTATCGTCGTCAAGTCGTCGTCGTCATCGTCGTCATCGTCGTCGTCACCGCGGTCATCGTGGTCGTCGTCATCGTCGTCGCGGTGTCGTCGCCGTCCTCGTCGTCGTCGCCGCCGCAACAGCCGTCGTCGTCGTCGTCGTCGTCGTCGGGGCGTTGTCATCGTTGTCGTCGTCGAAGGCGTAGTCGTCGTCGTTGAGGCGTCGTCGGGGCGTCGTCACCGTCGTCGTCGTCGCCGACGCCGTCGTCGTCGCCGTGGCCCTCGTCGTCGTCATCGTCAAGGTGTCGTCGTCGAGGTGTCGTCGTCGTCGTCGTCGTCGCCGTCGCCCCCGCAGTCGCCGTCGCCGTCGCCGTCGAGGCCGAGCCCGCCACAGCTGCCGCCGCCGCCGCCACCGCCGTCGTCGTCGCCGTCGCCGCAGCCACCACCACCGCAGTCGTCATCCTCACGATGTCGTCGAAGAGGTGCCGTCGTCGTCGAGGTGTGTTCGTCTCGGAGTCGTCGTCGTCGTCGCCGTCGCCGTCGCCGACGTCGCCGCAGTCGTCGCCGTCGTCGTCGTAGTCGTCGTCGCCGTCGTCGTCTGCGTGGCCGTCGTCGATGTAGTCGTCGTCGTCGTCGTCGTCGTCGTCGTCGTCGTCGTCGTCGTCGTCGTCGTGGTCGTCGTCGTCGTCGTCGTCCTCGTCGCTAGTCGTTGTCGTTGTCGTCGTCACCGTCGTCGACTGCGTGGTCGTCGGCGTTGTCGTCGTCGTCGTCGAAGGCGTCGTCGAGGCGTCGAGGCGTCGTCGAGGCGTCGCCGAGGCGTCGTCGCCGTCGCACGTCGCCGTCACTGCCGCCGACGCAGCCGCCGCCGCCGCCGTCGTAGTCGTCGTCGCCGTCGTCGTCGTCTGCGTGGCCGTCGTCGCTGTAGTCGTCGTCGTCGTCGTCGTCGCCGTCGTCGTCGTCGTCGCCGTCGTCGTCGTCGTCGTCGTCGTCGTCGTCGTCGTCGTCGTCGTCGTCGTCGTCGTCGAAGTGTCGTCGTCGAAGTGTCGTCGTCGAGGAGTCGTCATCGTCGTCGTCGTCGCCGCCGACGTCACCGCCGCCGTCGTCGTCAGCGTCGCGACGTCGTCATCGAGACTTCGTCGTAGTCGTCGTCCTTGCCGCCGTCGTCGTTGCCGCCGCCGCCGTCGTCGTCGTCATCGCGGTGTCGCCGCCGTCGGCGTCGAAGTGTCGGCAACGTCGTCGCTGCCGCCGCTGTCGTCGCTGCCGCCGCTGTTGTCGCCGCCGTCGTCGTCGTGGCGGTGTCGTCGTCGAGGTGTCTTCGTCGTCGTCGTCGTCGAGGGTTGTCGTCGTCGTCAGCGTCGCCGTCGGCGTCGAGGTGCCGTTGTCGATGCCGTCGCCGTCTTCGTCGTCGTCGTCGTCGTCGTCGAAGTGTCATCGCAGCCGAAGGCCGCGCCCGCCTCAACGTCATCCGCGCCCTCCACGAGACTCGGGTCGGGACTCGGGATTCGGGTCGGGCTTGAGCTCGGGACTCGGGCTGGTGTTCGGGTGAAGGGATTGGGACGGGTCTGGATTTGGATTCGGATTCGGGTTCGGGCTCGGACCCACGGTCGCATTCGGACTCGGGGTCGGCGCGGGGGGCGCTGTTGCAGCGTCGTCGCCGCCGCCGCCATAGCCGCCGTCGCCGTCGAGCAACGCCTTGAAATGGGCGCCACCCAGCGAGGAAGACTGGCGTGTCGGCGCCCCGGCAATGATTATCGAGGGCAAGCAGACGGGCAAACAGACGGGCGGAAAAACAGAAGATGCGTCCGCCGTCGGCTTCGAGGGAGGAGGCGTCGGGGGACGTCAACCGACCACCTCACCGAGCCTGGCCTGGCCCCTCCTGTGCCCGGGCTGGGTGCACACGCCATCCTGGCTTGGGCTACGGATCCCTGGCCTTAAGTCAGGCCTGTCCCTCTACAGGAGGAATACTCAAAAATAGTAAGAAATAGTCAGGGGACGATTTTTCTATTATTTCTGGAAATTCTCTGACTATCCTTGATTTTTCGTCCAAAATCCGCCTGTAGGAGGACATGCCCGACCTAACCCTGGCCCAGCCGGCCTGGCTTCTGGGGCCATCCGTCCTGGGCCCATCGATCCCGGGCCCCAGGACCATCGAACCCGCGGCCACACTGATCCTGGGCCCAAGATGGGCCCGACGTCCCCCGGCTGGCCAGCAGAGGACGGGCCGACAAGGAAGGACGAACATCCAAGAGAGAGATGGGGGCAACGGCGACACAAAAGAAGCATCACGCTACCCTTCGCGAGGGCTATCCGGCACTCCGCGGCCAGACCACGACACCGCCATCGGCATGCACCACACCGCCAGATCAGGAGAAACAGGAAGATGAGGAGGAATTGGAGCAGGAGCAGGAGAGAAGAAGAAGAAGTGAAAGCAAGAGAGCGCGTCGGGGGATCCTCGTTGCCTTCGAGGATCGCCTTCTCGGACTCGCTGACGCTTGGCGGCGCGCAGGAGGGTGCGGGGCGAGTGGGTCGGCCCTACGAGAGGGCACGGCCTCTCAAGAGGGCTCGCAGGAGTCTCTGGGGCAGCTTCGCAGCGGCGCGGAGGCCTCCGAGGAGCCCCACATCCCCCCCCCTGCCTCCTGAGCGCATCTTTTAACTAATCCCTATCCCCACTGGCGTGACCTTCGTGCCATGGCCGACTTCCCCCCCCGAGATGGGGATCTCTCTCTCTGTATATATATATATATCCAGCTACACATGTAGATGTACACATGTATATATATATATATATGTAAATACACACATGTGAGCATGCACACATATATGCATGCATACACAACTACATATACATATACATATACACATACACACATATACATATGCATATACATACACATTTGCATATACATAAAAATATACATTTACACATATACCTATACAGGCATACATATATACACATATACCTACCTACCTACCTACCTACCTGCCGATCTACCTATATGAGTGCATGCATGCATGTTTACATACATGCACACATACATACACGTACACATATATACATACATGCATGCAGGCATGCGTGCATGGTTACAAACATGCAGACATACATGCATACATGCATGCATGCATGTATACGTACATACATACATACACACATACAATCATACATGCATACACACGTACATGTATACATCCATGCATGTATAGACATAACTGTATACGTACACATACATGCACATACAACTACATACACTTATATATAAACATTTACGCTTATTAGTGAACAAGCATACATACATGCATACACACATACGTACATACAAACATGCATAATACATAAATATATGTGTATATATATATATACATACATACATACATACATACATACATACATACAGACAGACAGACAGACAGGCAGGCAGACAGACAGACAGCCATACATGTACACATCCACATACCTACATACATGCATACACACAAACATAGACACATACATGCATGCATGCATGCATACACACATTCATACAGGCATACATGGATGCGCTTATACATCCATACATCTATACATATACCCATACATAAATACATGCATACATACATACACACATACATACAAGCAACCAAGCAAGCAAGCAAGCAAGCATACATACAAGCAAGCATGCATGCATGCATACATACATATGATATTCCCTTCGGGATTCGCGAGCCATGTCCCAAACTGGGGGGGAGGGATGATGGGGCTGAGATAGCCTCCCCCAATGGGGATGGGGATCGGTTAGACGATACTGATCCTCAGGATACCATGCTCCCGCCACGCCCAGGAGGTCTCCCGAGGTCCTGGCAGACCCCCATGCGGAGACCTCCCGCTGCTTCCAGCGGTCCAGGAGCAGGCCAGCAGCGCCCAAAAACCTCGATGCCCGATCCTCGAAACAATCCTCCTGAAAAGAAATATCCCGCTCGCCCCACCCGGACCCGTCACGGGGACACCTGAGGAGGAGGAGGAGGAGGAGGCGGAGGAGGAGGCGGAGGCGGAGGAGGAGGAGGAGGCGGAGGAGGAGGAGGAGGAGATGTTCGATCCGCGCCAGGCCGTGGCCAGGCCGGCCCCCGGGATCACGAGGGGGGGCACGGCGACCCCAGTCCTTGACGCCGTGGGGCTGGCGACGGGGCCGGAGACTTGGGGGCGGAGCTCGAGGATGCACGACGGGCGGGCGTCCGGCCTCGACGGGGGTGCCTCCGAGTAGCCCCCTTAAGGGGTGCATTCGTGGGTGTCCTCTCTGTTCTGAGCGGCTTGTTTTTGGGGGGGGACCCCATTGAGGTCGAATCGGCGATACATCGCCGATAGATCGGCGATAGGCCCCCGATGGCGAAGCCGCGCGTTGCTCGGGAAGTGGGCTATGGGCTATGAGGCCCATGTCGGCGATGAATGAGCGATTCGGGGCTGATGCGTTCCCACCTGAGTCTACACCCCCTCACGTTTCCCGTGACATTGGGACGGAAACGTGAGCCAGATGCCCAACAGCGGATCCTGCTCAGAATAGGACCCAGCTCAGAATGTTACATTCTGAATGTGCAGGAACTGCCTTCGGTCTTCGTCCCCGTTGCTCGTTCCCATGTCGGTTCTTCCGCAGGGGCTCGAGCTCAACAGTGCTGACCGTCTTCGTTTTGTTATCGTAGCCGGGGGCGCCCTGCCCGCCCTCGCGGCGGCGGCGATTAGCTGATTAGCTCCAGGGCCGTAACGGGGCCCGTGCAGGCGCATGTGCGAAAAACGTCAACTGCTGCCCTGTAGCATTTCTCCCGCCGAAAAATGATTTCGACTTCGCAATCCACGAAAAGCCCTGATCTCCCAGCTGGAGGTCTCGACCCATGTCCGCGGAATGGCTCTTCATCTCGAGTCTTATGATGCCCCAACCTGCTCTAGCCTGGATCACCCAAAAGAATTTCGAACACCAGAACAACACCGAAACTCGAGGGTTTTCACATGTTGTCGGGCCCTGGGAGACGCTGTCCGACACTGTTTCGAGACTGTTTCGACACTCTTTCGACACTTCTCCAGGTGCTCGAAATTATTTCTAGGATGGTGTCCTCAAGTACGACGGGAGCAACATGACCCGAGTCGCTGTCTGACGGCACCGGGGCTCGGCCGGCAGGGGGCACGAGAAGCCACAGGCTGCCAAGAGCCTTCCGCCGTCCGCCGCTGCTTTTGCCACGTTCGGGGCCCAGGAACAAGGAGAAGCGGTACCACCACCATCACCAGCGCGAGACCCGAAGGAGGGTTCTCCTGGTGGCGCGGTCCCCCCCTCTCGCTCGAGCCATCCCCTACAGTCGGTGTCCCCAAGCTCGAGGGGGCGTTGTGGGCCCCCTCGCTCTCAGAGTGCCCGCCCCCTAGTGGCTGTGGTGTCCCCCTGCCACCCCCTCCGTCCTCCGATAGGGGGCCCTCTTCGACAACTCCGAAGAGTGCGGTTTGCAGAGGTGTGGTTTGCGACCCGCGCCCGAGGAGGGGGGGCGCGCGACCTCGATGGACAGCTGCGCCGCGCCCCGAGGAGGCCCGACGAGGACGACAGCGTCGTGCCCCCAAAGCCCCGAAGGCGCAGATTGCAAACCACACCCTGGCACAACCACACATTCTGTTGCGTGTTCGACCATGGGCCCCTTGTTACCCATTGCTCCTGGGCCGTCTTCGCAGGTCTTCGGCGGTCTTCGGGCGGTCTTCGGCGGTCTTCGGCGGTCTTCGGGCGGTCTTCGGCGGTCTTCCGCGGTCTTCGTTCGGCGGTCTTCGAACGGTCTTCGGCGGTTTCCGGCGGTCTTCGGCCACGAAAGTTGGATGGGTTGCGTTCAACAAGGGGCATAATCGAACACCGAACCTGCCGTGTAGTCGCCGACCTCTGGCGCGCCGCCAGGATGTGCTGGATCACCCGCTGCTCGATCCGCTCCCGGTACAGCTCCGTGGGGCCGGCGGCGGACTCGCGGAGCCGCTCGGAGAGCCAGACCTTCGGGGGGCGGGTGGTCGCTCGGGCTGGGTGCGCAGGCAAGAGCGGACAATTCGGTGGCAACTCATGGGAGCCGCCCATACCATCTTGTCGGCTCTTGCGAATCGACGCTAATCGACGCCAGATCGACTCTAATCGAGGCTGACCGACGGCAAATCGGCGCTATCTCATCGACTCCCAGACGCTGATCGACACTAACCGACGCTAAAGACGAAAGTACAAGGGTACACCAGGCTCCCATGATTTGCTACCGAAGGACGCGGGAGCGTTGAAAGAGCGAGGTGGGGGCATGAAACCTGAGAGATCCCATGGCCCTGGCGATGACATCCACCACCACCCCTGATCCTCACTTCCCCGCCTCTGGGCGCACGGAAAGAGGGGACAGAGGGCAGGGCGGCGAGTCGGCTGCACGCAACTATGTCTTCTCTGGCGCTAGACACGACAATTTACCGAGGAAAGCGCCAAGCGGCAGGCCCGAAACCGGCTGCACGCAGCAAGTGTCGCATCCCCCCTCCATTTCGGTGACTCCAAAGGGTGTGGTTTGCAGAGGGTTTGGTTTGCAGCCGCCACCCTTGGGGACACCCTGCGGGGCCAGCGGGGACCTCTATAGAGTTCTCCGCCCCTCCCCGAGGAGGCCCGACGAGGACAGTGTCGTGCCCCCCAGGCCCAACAGCGGCAATCGCAAAACACACCCCGTCGTAACCGCACCCGTTGTAGTCGCCGAACATATCCCGATCCCCCCCATCTCGTCCGACGCCTCCCCCTTCCAATGCCCCCGATCTTGGCACCACGCCCAGAAAAGGGTGCAGAAAATGCTACAGTGACCAGCAGCTGCTCTCCCAAAGCGGGAAGCGGCCGCCATCAGAAAGGCGCTTTGCTGTCTCAAGTGGAGAGCGGGAGCGGCGCCACCGATAGCGGGCCCTGTTCAGAACGGACAAGGTCTGCTGTCGATCTCCGTCCCCAGTCTTTTTCTGGACACATGTCACTCCTACACCGACGCTCAAGGGAGGGGGCCTCCTCTGGCCCGAAGGAAGCTGGTTCTGAAGACACGACTCACGCATCAACTGGCACTGTGATCAGATCGCATTGAGACTACGGAGGAGGGAGAAGGAGGACGAGGCGGAGACAGAGGAAGGAGAGCGGACAATGAAAATGCACAAAGTACTGCAAATCATCCGCCCACGGCCCGATTGGAGAGCTCAAAATGGATCGCATGATTGACCTACGAGCGGGTCATGAGAAAAACGGGTCGTGGGCCCCGAAGGCTTTCACGATCGGCGTTGATATCCGCATCCGCGCCCTCGCGGTCTGGATTCTGGGGCGCGGTCCCGCGGATACGCGGCCGCACGGATACGCTCCGCGCAGGGCATCCGCGAGAAAAGACGCGCCGGATCCCGCGGGGTCGCGGCCCAGGGGCGCGGCCCACGAGGCCGAGGACAGACAGGTTTTTACCCGAGATCCGACGCCTCGAAAAAATTGAAACATCGTGAAAAATCACGCCCCGAGCCCTGGACCCCATCTTTCTGCATAATTTTGCCCGCCAGATTCATCCGTGAGGGTCCTAGAGCCCGAAACCGTACGAAAACGCCCGGCTCGAAAAAAATTGATCGCCAAGATCTCGGGGTACGGATACGTGTTTCGCCCGCGAGGCATCTTCACTCCGGGGCCCAGTCGGGGATCTACTGTCAGGGAGCACTAAACAGGGTAACGCCTAAACGGGGTAACAGACCCACCATGGGATCCAGGTGGAAAAACTGCAACGACCAGAACAAAAAAATGCACTGCATTTTTCTGCAACGCAAAAAAAAAACTGCGGTGCAATTTGTTGGCAACCAGATGCGGAAAAACTACAAAAATCCCCACAGACCAGGTAGCAGAGGGCCCAAAACAAAAAGTTGCAGTGCAGCAGCCGAAAATGTGCAACGCAGCCAGCATGTGGAAGGTGCTGCATCGAACGCGAAAGCAGTCAAAAAACTGCACTGCAACAAAAGGGCCATTGGATGCCTCGAACCGGCCGTTTCCTGTTACCCCGTCTGTTGTTACCCCGTCTCTGGCTCCCTGATACTGACGGGTCAATCCAGATCCGGGTCAGTCAGGCTTTGCAGGATCCTGCAAAATTCTGCGGGATCCTGCACCCAAGCCTGGGTCAGCGCGCCCCTGGCCCTGCAGGATCCCGCAAGACCCAGCGCTCTTGGCTGACCCCCGCTTGCGTTGACCCCCGCCTCAAGGCTCCCGACCCCGGGGCGCCCCCGAGGCCCCCGGGCGCCCTTGCCGAGGGAGGGGGGAGGGGGGGGAGAAGCGCTGCGGAGGCCGCCCGAGGGGGCGAGAGCACCCGCGGCCTCCCTCGCGGGAGAGGCCCTGCCGGGCCCCGGCGTCGTGAAACAAAACCGTGGCTGGAGGCTTCTGGCCCTGTTGGTCGGGCGCGACCTCATGGCGGGGGCGATTGTTGAGGCCTCCCAGATGGGGTCGGCGTAGACGGGGTCGAAGGATCGTGCCGCATCGCCGATGCATCGCCGATGTATCGGCAATGCGTTGGCGACGCGGGCGACGCATCGGCGACGTCGGCGTGGAGAAAATCTGGCTCCGCATCGAACCGCATCGTCGATGCATCGGCGATGCGGCGCGATCCTCCGACCCCAACTGCTCGGACCCCATCTGGGAGGCCTGGAGATCAGGGGGTGAGTGGAGAAAGGTGGATGTACCAGCCGATGATGGATTCAACCTCAGAGGAGCTGCAACCGATGAAACGAGTCCTGGAGGATGGAGGAGAGGGATCCTGGAGACTCCTCGCCACTCTGCGGGGCCTGGGGCCGTCAAAGAGCTAGACTCTCGGGATGAAGGTCTGGTGCTGCGGAAGAGCCCCAGATCTACAATCGAAACGCTGTCATACGGAACCCCAAAGAAGGAGCGAGGCCCCTTTTTTCCATAAGTTACACTCCGACTTCCCAGAGAAAGCCTAAGGAAAGCCAGAGAAACGCTATACAACAATTACAGAACACTGAGCCCCTCCCAACGAAAAGGGCTCGTGATTCTCAGCGACGCGACTGCAAATCAAGACCTGCTTCCCTCAAAACCCCTCGCCCTCATGGCAACTCTGGCCAGGGACCCCTCTTATTTCGGGGGGGAGGGAGGGCTTCGCGGACGAGCGTCGCACGAGGCCAGAAGAAGCCGGCATCGAACATTCGCACACCGCACCGACTCGGAATGCGCGTCGGAGCAGCATTCGCTCGGGCATGTTCTCCTACAGGCGGATTCTGGGCGAAAAATTACCCATTGTCAAAACAGAATGATAAAAACATAGACAAATCGTCCCCAGACGATGTTCTACTATGTTTGAATAAATTGAATGTTTCTCCTGTAGCGGGGGGACAGACCCCACTTAAGATCGGCCCGCGTCGGCACGGAGTCGGCATGGGATCGGATCGGCCGCGCCAGGGCACACAGCAGCGCCGCGCGTGGGGAGACCAAAAGGCGCCGACACCCCTCCTCCTCCTCCTCCTCCTCCTCCTCCTCCTCCTCCTCCTCCTCGTCCTCCTCCTCCTTCTCCTCCTCCTCCTCCTCCTCCTCCCTGAGCCTCTCCCGGGGTGCGCTCCGACCAGAGTTTCGAGGCGAATCCAGCGATGACGACGAGGGCCTCTCAGGAGGCCCCCCAAAGCAGGAACGAACGAGGGAAGGGCAGCGGTATTGGTTCCTTCGGGGCTAGGACGAGGATAAGTCCGTTCCAAAGCGCTCTAGAACGCTCTTAGAATGTTTCGGAACGCTCTGAGAAGGCCGCGGCGCCCGATACATCCTCCGGAGTCGCCAGACCTCAGAGATTCTCAATTGATCCTCGCCCGAATTAATCCTCGCCCTGGCTTCGTCTTACACCTCTTCTGGGGAGACCAAAAGGTACCGATACCGCTACTCCCCAGACCTCTCCCGGGGTGCGTTCTGACCAGAATTTCGAGGCGAATCCAGCGGTGGCGACGAGGGCCTCCGAGGAGGCCCAAAGAGGGGAAAACGAGGAAAGGTGAGAGGTATAGGTACCTTTTCCTCCTCTGGTCTTCCTCCTCTGAGCATCGGGTCGCATCGGGCCGTCGGAACATCGGAATCGGATCGGGTCGGAGCCGGCCAGAATCGACCGCCCTCAGGGCGGCCAGGGGCCTCCCGAGAGGGCGCCGGGCTTCTCGGACGCCCTCCTGGACACCTTCCGCGCGGGGCTTCTGCGAGAAAGCGCTCCGTACCCCGCAGGGTCGCGGCCCAGGGGCCCGGCCCGCGAGGCTGTGGATATGTACATGTTGTCCGCCCACGAGGAAGGAGGGGGGGGGCATTGGCTCCAGTGGCTTGGAATCGGCGATGCATCGCCCATAGCTCAGCGATAGGCCGAAGCCACCTGCTCCTGGCAGACCCAGCAAAGGCAGCATGTATACGTCTGCCCTTTCCCTGACGTAGAACATCTCCCGGCATTGGCACGCCCGAGTGCGCTGCATGCAGCCGTGGGCCGGGACAGCCTGCATTGTGGCTTGTGACGTCCTGGTCTCCGGGGCCCTGGGATGCTTCTGGACTCGGCGCCTCCGGGGCCGGGCCAGTTGGCAGCGGGAAGCGCCCACCTCCTCCCCACGCAGACGCCCCCCTCGGGACCAGGGGGTCGAAGAGCTCGACCTCCTCCTCCTTCTCCTCCTGCGGCGGCGGCTCCTGGAGGGAAGGGGCGGTCGAAGCTGGCTGAAACGCCCGTAGCATTCCGCGTCCCGCGCGACGCGAAGCGCGGGCGGCTCGGAGGCGGGAGGCCCGAGCCGCTGAGTGGCGCGACAGTGCGCCCGTCCCATCCCTCCTCCTCGGCGGGGCCCGAGGGCACAGCGGGTGCGCACGATAATTTATAACGGCTGCGCCGAGCACCGCTCCCAGACCGTTATTGCCTTACCCACCATCAGCATCATCATCATCATCATCATCATCATCATCATCATCATCATCATCATCATCATCATCATCATCATGATCATCATCGTCATCGTCATCGTCGTCGTCGTCGTCATCAGCATCATCATCATCATCATCATCATCATCATCATCATCATCATCATCATCATCATCATCATCATCATGATCATCATCATCCTCATCGTCATCATCATCGTCAGCATCATCATCATCGTCATCATCATCATCACCAGCATCATCATCAGCAGCATCTTCATCATCGTCATCAGCATCATCATCATCACCAACATCATCATCATCATCATCATCATCATCGTCATCAGCATCAGCATCATCACAGCCACCATCATCAGTTCCATCATCATCATCAACATCATCATCATCATCATCATCAGCATCATCATCATGATCATCATCATCTTTGCAGCAGCAGCATCACCACCACCAGCATCATCAGCATCACCATCAACATCATCGTCAACAGCATTATCATCACTACCACCACCACCACCATCACCACCACCTCCACCACCACCGTCATCACCATCAGCAGCAGAATCACCCTCGTCATCATCATCATCATCATCATCATCATCATCATCATCATCATCGTCAGCAGCAGCAGCAGCATCCTGATCAGCATTGCCATCAGCAGCATCACCAATGATCATCGTCATAACCATCATCATCATAATCATCATCCTAAGCATCAACATCATCACCGTCGTCGTCATCATGATCAACAACAACAACAACACCACCACTACCATCACCACTGCCACCACCACCATCATCATCAGCATCATCATCATAAGAATCAGCGTGAGCATCATCAGCATAATCACCATCGTCATCATCAACAGCATGATCATCATCATCATCATCATCAGCATCAGCATCATCATCGTCATCGTCAGCAGCAGCAGCAGCATCTCCATCATCATCATCAGCATCATCAACATCCTTATCATCAGCGTCATCAGTACCATCATTATCAGCATCGCCATCGTCATCGTCATCATCATCACCACCATCATCATCATAATCATCACCAGCAGCATCAGCATCACCATCGTCGTCATCATCAGCAGCAGCATCAACATCCGTCGATTTACTTCCCCTTCTCATCATCATCCTCATCCTCCTCATCCCCCTCCTCCCACCATGCCTCCCCCTCCTCCTCCCCGTCATAACCCGCTCAAAGCACTCGGAGCCAATCCTGACCATTATCCAAGCTGCACCCAGAGGTGCCGACAAGGGGGGAGGCGAAAGCCCAGAGAAGAAGGAGAAGTAGGATCATTCCTCGCCCCATGAATGGGTAAGTGGGTAAGGACCATTCCTCTGCTCCCTCCTCCTCCTCATCCTCCTCCCCCCAGCCTTTCTCCGCTCTCCTTCCTCTTCCTCCCGTCATCCTCCTTCCAGAAGTTTCTGGGGTCTCAAGGGTTCATGCAGAGACCCCCATGGGTCCCTGGAGAACTCCAGCGGTCCCCAGAGAACTCTGGAGGCCTCCCCAAAGAGGCTCAACAACACCCAGAAGCGTCGATGCTCAGCCCTCGATTGTCTGCACTCCTCCTCCTCCTCTGGTATGCGAAAAGAAAGAGCCCTGCCCTGGGCCAGACTTTTGAGAAACAGCCCGTGGCTGGGAAGCGGTCTCCCGAGAGCCCGAACGCGGCGGAACGTCTCGGGGACCCGTTCCATCAGGGCCCCATTCGCTGCATGGTCCCATAGAGTTGCCCAGGGGCGCACAAAGACATAGACACATACCCCAGGATTCCCAACACTTGTTCCGTATTTTCGTGGTCTTCTGGGCCCCATTCGCGTCATGGCCCTACGCCAAGGAAATATCCCTCCGAGGGAAGTTTGCGAGTACCTTCAGGGAGGGCGGCGGTGGTGGTGTATGCACCGCCACCCTCCCCTGCGGCCCACGAGCAATCCAATGGAGGGTGCCTGTGTATATTGTTCTGCGGCAGAGGTCGTCATTCTTCGTCTTGCTCGCCCCCCTCCTCGTCCTCCTCCCTCCCGCTGCTCCCGTCCTTCCCTCGTCGCTCCCCATCGCGCCGCGTCCGTCCTCTTCTCCCTTCCTCCTCCTCGCTTGTCCTGCCCTTCGTCTCCTCCTCCTCCTTCCTCCTCCTCCTCCTCCTTCCTCCTCCTCCCCCAGGGCCCGTTCTCTTCATGGTTCGGAAGCCTCCTGGAGACCCAAGCAGGGCGCCAGATAGCAGGAAAAGGCCAGCAACAACACACACACACACACACACACACACACACACACACACACACACACACACGCGCGCGCGCGCGCGCGCGCTGTTTGGGCGCATGCGGCTGGGGCAGGAAGCATGGCGAACGTTCCTGAGTCTGGGGAGACCTAAAAGACCGATACCGTTACTCCCTTCCCAGAATGCGTTCTGATCGACATTTCAAGGCGAATCCTTCGGTGGCAACGAGAGGCTCCCAGGAGGCCCCAAAAGACGAAAACGCGGGAAGCTCAGCGGTATGGGTGCCTTTTCCTCCTCCGAGAATCACGCTTGGCGCAGACGGGCTAACGCCAAGCCGAGAGAAGGTGCAGCAAACGGCCCGGCTAAAAACGAACCAAAACCAGGGAATCGCAAGCGAAGAAATGCAAGGCAGGCCGACCACTGGCCGGCCTAACTGTGACGACCAGGGGACATCGAGACAAGGGAAAGAGGGCCAAGAAAAGAGAAGCGAGGAGCGAGGAGCGAGGAGCGACAGCCAACCGCCGAAACGCAGACAAGCACACACAAAACGAACTAGCAGTTGTTTAGCGAACAGCAGAGCTAATCCACACCCCGCTGCCTCGCTTCTGGGCAACAGCATGTGCATCCTTCCCGTGCAGATCGGGTCTCTAAAAAACGAACTGGGTTTCAGAATCCCACCAGCCCTTTTGGGCGTAGGTTGTCTAGAGCATTTTTTTTGTTACCCCTCCTATGTCCCCTTCGGGAAGGGTCTACCCCAGTCTTGATCACTTTTCCCTATTCGTATACACCCCCTCCCCCGGGCGACTGGGAGCCAACCAGGAACAATGCGGGCACCCCCCCACCATCCCTTATCAACAACAATTCAAACACACACTCTGCCTCCAAATTCGGAGCATGCGCAGCGAACCCGGTGCGGCCTCCCCCCGCCATCCCTGCCAACAAAAACAAAGTACAGTTGGCGGCGGCGGCTGCGGCGGCTGCGGCGGTTGCGGCGGTGGCGGCGGCGGTGGCGGCGAAGGCGGCGGGGGCGGCGGCGGCGGCGGCGGCGGCAGCGGTGGCGGCGGCGGCGGCAGCGGTGGCGGCAGCGGCTGCGGCGGCAGCGGCTGCGGTGATTCGGCGGCGGGGGGCGGCGGCGGCGGCGGCGGGCGGCGGCGGCGGGCGGCGCGGCGGCGGCGGCGGCGGACAGCGGCGGCGGCGGCGGCGGCGCGGCGGCGGCGGCGGCGGCGGCGGATTCGCCCCCAGTAGCTGCCCATCCAAAGACGACTGCTGAATATGCTGCGGCTCGGGCCAGGCTCGGGTGCTACGTATGTGTTGGGAGGGCGGGTGGGACTGAACCAGACGGCTTGCAGGCGGGGAGGGAGTCTTGACCCCTCCCCCGACCCCCTCCCCTGGACCTGGACGGGGGGTTCCCCGACGCCCCCGCCCTCTCCTGTGATCGATCTCCTCCAAGATGGCCCCAAGAGGCGCCCAGCCCCATGAGGCCCCGAGATGGCCACACGATGGCCCCATGCGGCCCCAAGAAACCCCCAAGAAACCCCCAGGGTGCCCCCAAGAGGCTCCCACGAGACCCCCACGAGGCCCCAAAAGACCCCCCAGAGGCACCCAAGACGCTTCGAGAGGCCTCGGCGCGAATGCCAAAATCATTGATTTCACGAAAGTATTGGCCACATTTGGGTTTCCTGGGGTGGGCACTGCTTCAGATGACTCCAAGGGCGCCTGGGGGAGCCCAAGATGACCTCCAAGATGGCTCAAGATATCCCAAGATACCTCAATATGGCTCCCACGATGCTCCAAGAGGCCCCAACACCGCTTCAGGACGGCTCCAAGTGGCCAAGGAGTTCCCCCAGGAGGCCCCGAAGAGGCCACAATCCTTCCAACACCTAAGGGAAATCAGTATGTTGGGTTTTCTCGCCTTTTCGCTTCCGATGACCATCTGAAGCTTCAAGATGACTCCGTGATGGCCCAAGAAGGCTCCAAGAGCGTTCCCAAGGCTCCCAAAAGCGCTGCAAGAGGGCCCCAAGAGGTGCCCACGAAACCCCAGGAGGCCCTAACGGGCGCCCCAGAGGCCTCCAGGAGGCCCCCAAGAGACCCCCAAGAGGCTCCAAGAAGCTCTCCGAGACGCCCAAGACGCTCTAAGAGGCGTCCGGGACCGCCAAAAGGCCCCCAAGACGCTCCAAGAGGCCTCCACTGGGGGACCCTTCCTCGGTGTGCTGCCCACTTCCCTGATCGAGGCACTTCCTCTGGGTATCGTTTCTGGATGGGCTGGTGGGGTTACTTTTCCCGTCGCGGCCGCAGGCGAGCGCGCCAGCAGCGTCAGAGGTCGGGCGGGCTACGCACGAGCCTTATTGCCTAGCGCGCGGGGACCGTCGACCGAACCTAAGCTGCCTAAGCTGCCTAAGTTGCCGGGCGGCGCGAGGGGGAGCCAGGAAGCGGGACAGGGCCCGAAACCTTGCTGGCAACGATGCAGACTGCAACCAGGACCAGGATCCGGGGGCAGCGCCGATGCACGAATTTAACCATGGAGCTATACGCAGCAAAATGGCGCGGCAAGGTCACAGACAGCGAAGCTGACAAGCGACCGCTGAGGGCGCGTAGGACATGACGTAGGATAAACCACACGAGACTCCAGGAGGTAATGCTGACACCGATGGTCAGGAATACGTCAGTGACCAGGAACCAGTACGAGTGGCGCCACCGAAGTCGCACACTCACTCCTGAGAGAAAGAGATCCGGGGCAATCTCCTCTCCGAGAACGAGAGGAAGAGCCAGCCAGGAAAACGATGGAAGGGATCGACACCGAAGACCTGAACGGATCGGCCACACGCCTGATGCTGCCAACCAGGAATACGATGGACAAGGTCGACACTCTGCTGGTGGGGTTACGCGAGACGCCTGGAATTCGAAGGACATCTGCAGCCACGGAATCCCAGCGGGGGTGTCCGACACCCCGGCGTCGATTGGACCCGCAGGGGTACGGTTCAAAATCGGTCGCAGAACGGACTCACCCGGCAGTGTGGTCACCGCACCGCTCTGGGACTCCCGCATCCCTTGGGATCGCCAAAGATGTCCCTGGCCCCCACGTGCAACGTGCCCCCGGCTTTCCGCGCCATTTTGGAGCCCCCGGGCCCTCGGGACCTCGGCAGCGGTGCTCTGGAGGCCCTCGGGGCCTCCTTCCTTGGAAAGCCTGGGACCACCATTGGGCCAGCTCTGGGGGAACCAAAATGGCACTGATACCACTATTCCCTGGACCTCTCCCGTGGTGCGCTCTGGTAAGGACGTCGACCGTGGCGACGAGGGCCTCGCAGGAGGCCCCGAAAAGGAGACCGAGGCGAGGGAGCGGTATCGGTACCTTTTCCTCCTCTGAAGCTCCCGCGACACCCTCCTGTCCCCGGGCGCTCTCCCCAGGAACCAGCCAGCTCAGACTGACCGAGCTGGGCAGGCTGAAAGGACAGGCGGCTCCGAGGCGCCTGCTACAAGGGTGCACCGAAAGTCAGTCCGATCCCTGCCCCGACCCCTCCCCACACGTGTATACCTCGCCCCGATCATCACGAAACACCCTGGGAGGGCCCCCGGGGGTCGAACATACGGCGAGCGAGAGAGAGATCTCCGGGAGCCGTTCCTGGAGCCGCTTCCTCCAGGACCTGCCTCCTCCGTGCCCACTCCTCTTGCCATCGCCCGGACGCCCCCGCCCCGTGCATAGTCCAGCGTCGTGCGCGTCTTGTCTCGCAAGAGGACCCAACACTCTGCTCGTCCTCGATGGCCCTCGCCGAATAGACGCACAGGTCCGAGCGATGCCGAGTCCTCCCCTCCCTCAGCGCCACACTGTCGGGTAGCGGGTGCGCATCGTGGCCCGAGGCGTGTGCACTGAGGAGGGGGGTCAAGGAAACGCGATGAAAGAATAATGACAACAATAGTAATAATCATTACTATAATAATAAAAATAATACTAATAATAATAATAATAGAATAATAATAATAATAATAACAATAATAATAAGAATAATAGTAATACTACTAATAATGATGCTAATAATAATAATGATACTAATAATAATACTAATAATAATAATAATAATAATAATAGTAATAATAGTAATAATAATACTACTAAAAATAAAAATAATAATAATGATAATAATAATAATAGCAAACACAAGAAGAAAAAAAAACAATAAAACTATGATTAGTAGTAGTAATAATAATAATAATAATAATAGCAAGAAGGACCCTGATACTAATACATATAATAGAAGAAGAAGACGAAGAAGAATCAGAAGAAGAAGAGGGGAGGAGGAGGAAGAGGAGGAGGAGGAGGAGGAGGAGCTTGGAGGAGGAGGAGGAGGAAGAACAGCAAGAACAGGGCGCCATGAAATCTGAGAGACATCAATGGCCCTGGCCATGACGTCTATCCCCCCAATTGGGGAAACCACCAAAGTACTGATAACGCTACTCCCAGGACCTCTCCCAGGGCGCGTTCTGACTAGAATTCCGAGGCGGATCCAGCCGTGGAGACGAGGGCCTCCCAAAAGGCATGAAAAAGCGAAAACGAGGCCAGGGTGGGGGTGTCGATACCTTGTCCTCCCACCCCACCCAATCCGCACCCCTTCAAGGACGTCCCCGACAGCATGGGCGGAGATCTCGCAGGCGTCCGCCAGGCACGGGGGCAGAGAGGCTGCTGGACACCCGCACTTCCGCACTAGGCTGGAGGTCCTGGCTCTGGCGTCCCTTGCTGTTCGGCCTCGCCGAGGCCTCGGCGAGGGGCAGGATCAGTCAGATCGAGTCGGGACTTCGAATCGAATTGGAATGTGCGTCGGATCGGATTGTATCGCCCATCGGCACGGAACCGAGACCAAACCGATCGACCGCGCCAAGATGCACGGCTGCGCCTGGCAAGCACCGGGTCGGGCCGCTGGAAGGTAGAGATCAGATCGGATCTGCCCCCGGGGGCTCGAAGTCGAGGCGGATCTATCGAATGGGCATGGGCCCACGGAGGGGCGGCCGCGACCGACGACGGAGGCGCCGCACAGGGCTCCGCGCAGAGGGGGAACCCCGGGCGTGCGGAGGGAGGAGGAGGAGGAGGAGGAGGAGGAGGAGGAGGAGGAGGAGGAGGAGGAGGAGGAGGAGGAGGGAGAAGAGGAGGAGGAGGAGGAGGAGGAGGAGGAGGGGAGAGGGGGCGGAGGAGGACGAGGAGGGGGAGGGGGAGAGGGAGGCGGGGGAGGAGGAGGAGGAGGAGGAGGAGGAGGAGGAGGAGGAGGAGGAGGAGGAGGAGGAGGAGGAGGGGGAGGAGGAAGAAGAAGAAGAGGATGTTTTGCAACGTCAACGCCAGAGGGGAAGCGCGACCACCTTCAAGACAGAGGCTCGAGGACGGCAGCGGCTGTAGCGACGGTGACTGAATCAACGCTCGCTACTGCTAGCTGGGAAAACCAGCCCTGGGCGCGTGGGCGACCACACGACGCGGAACAAGAGGTAAACAACACAACGAAATAGTTTGACTTTTCTGATACAGCACGCTGCCGGTCTGACTGGCCGTCAGGGGCGCATCTGGGCACGACACGCAGGGGTTCCGCCATCACGCAATTCTGCGGCCACGCTGCGCAAGACCTGCTCTGGACTGCCGGGAGCGGGGAGAGGCTCGTCCAGGCCCTCAGCCGTGAGGTCTACGAACTGCAGAGTAACTCCAACCAGATTCGGGTGAAACCCCCTGACAATGAGGTGCCAGCTGTACCTGCGGCCTAGCATGCGATGCTCAGTCAAAACAACGGGCGAGGGCGGATATCGTTCTCTTAAACCTCGAGCCTGGGCCCCCTGTCGAGTAAAGACTGCAACGTGTGCGTACAGCCACCAAAAAAAGGCATCGGAGCAATCAGAAGCGGCCATCGTGTCCAAGCGAACTGAGGTCGTCCGCGCTGAGCCCCGAAGGCCCGCAGCCCCAGGACGCCTGGACAATGGGGGGAACAGATAAAAGGCGATCTCCGAAGACACATAAAGCACTGCCACACGCTGCGCTGTCTTACCCAAGAGTGGCCCTCATGCTCCAAAGAACCAGCTCTAGAAAGTGGCCCAACCCAAGGCACATCCTGGAGGTCGAGACGCGGCCAGGCGGGCAAAAACTTCGCGGCTAACTTCGCCACCATACGCGCAATAGCACTCTCCCTCGCCAGAGAACCAGGTTCCTCCTTCGATGGCCCTGGGTACTGCGCACGGCCCATGTTGGCCAGCCTGGCAGAATGGCTGTCGCCAACTCGCTCAACAGTTTCCTCAGCTGGAAGGCTGTCGTCTAGTGAAAGATGTGCACGAACTTTCTCCAGAGCCTGCACGTGTCGATAGCCGCCCTGCCTAGCCTGCAACGTAAAACCTATTAGCATCGCTTTATGCGAGAGGCCCAGCGGCAGAGCGAGGTAGGAGAAGGAGGCGGAGAAGAAGGAGGAGATGGGGGGGACGAGGACGAGGACGAGGACGAAAAGGAGGAGGAGGACGAGGACGACGAGGGGGAGGGGGAGGGGGAGGAGGAGGAGGAGGAGGAGAGAGGAGGAGGAGGAGGAGGAGGAGGAGGAGGAGGAGGAGGAGAGGAGGAGAGGGGGGGGGAAGGAGGAGGGGGGGGGAGGAGCAGGGGAGTAGGGGGAGGGGAGGGGTAAGAGAAGGAAGAGGAGAAGGAGAGGGAGGAGGAGGAGGAGGAGGAGGAGCAGCAGCAGCACAGCACTCAAGCCACTCAAGCCGTCTGACGTTCCACTGGAAGAATCGCGGCTCTGGCTGGGGCCGTTAAAACCTTGTTTAACCCCTGTCGGCGTTTCGCCATATAGGCAACCATGCTGCTACACAGTGTGCACGTGCTGAGAAAGGTGATCTGCCACATTGAAAGAAAATCACACGCAATACAAGGACGAAAGACAGAACTCTTATTCCTGCACACGACAGGGCAAAACTGGCAGAGAGAAGGCAGAACATGCATGCACATGCGCAGCAGGCTGAAAGGCCAGCTGCAGGGCCCAGCACGGGCACTCGGCCGAGGAGTGGCCTAGGCACGGCCTTTAGAAGATTGCTTGCCGCCACCGAGCTGTCTGGCCAAAGTGAAAAAATGCTTGTGACTCTATTTCACACTAGCACCTATACTGAATCTGTTCACGAACTACCTGCTCTACGCTCACCCACACTCCAACCATGCTTCTCACTGAGCGGCGTCATCTAAATGCTTACCTCGTCCCCCCCCCCCGCCCTTTGCCTCCTCGATCTGCTTGAGAGGAGCTTCCTCCACGGCAGGTTCTTTGGGAGCAGCCTCTGAGCGACAGCGTAATGCGGTTGAACTGCTTCTGGCTAGGGCGCTCGTCGGTGAGCGAGGTTGTCATCTCTTTTATCCACCTCGTGAGCTGGGAAGAAGTGGACTTGAATATCATCCTTTGCAGTATGACGCACGCCTTCATTCCTGCCTGGGTCCGAAGGGAGGTGTCAGCGGCCATCGTGCTCTCGATAACGGCGACTTGGCACGCGGGGGCGGCCGACTCCTTGTCTGGATGCTCCTTTCTCGCCTTCAGAAAGTCCTGGAAGCTGTTGGGCACGGCCACTACCAGGGGTTGCTTGCGCTCCACCATGAGACTCGTGAAACTTGCCTGCTCTAGGGTCCTCACACGAGTTTGTGCTGGGTGATCAGCTTCTCTCAACCTAACCGCCTGGCACCGTTCTCCTTCTCTTCGTCTGCCGCACCCTTCTTCCCGTCCTCCATCTTCTTCGTTTTCTTCTCTCTCTCTGACTGGATGCGATCACGAAGCTCTTGCTGCGAGGCCTCGCCACGCCTGACGTGTCGTCCACCGACCTTGGCATGAAAGTGCGGCGCCAGGTGAGTACATACATGCTTGGACAGCTCAGCTGCGATGTCGAACTCCTCTGCATGACACTTCCTGGCATCTGTTTCGAGTGCGTGACTTTCGAAGCGACCTCTGTTGTACGGGCAGAAAACTTCGATGGCTGCCTCGTTGACTACGTGCATGATCTTGCAACTCGTCTCGTCCACCGTTCCCTCCTCCCACATCTGGTCGTAATCCTCATCCACCTCTTGTGCTCTGCGATTAACTTGTGCACAATCATCTAGAGTTTCTTGAATGGGACGCTTGCCTCCCTTAGGCAGTGGTGCCGCCGTGGCCTGAGAAGACTGATCTCTGGCGGCCACCGTCATACATAACTGCAGCCTGCGACCTGAACATGTGTGCACACAACGAGAGGCGATCGCAGGCAGCGCGTCCTGCGGGGCAAAGATGTGGTCGATGTGACTGGCCCCCGTTTCCCCGATGACGATGGTGACGATGTTCACTGCCACGAGATCCCAAGCTTCCAGTACATTCCTCAGTGCTGCCGACTCTGGGGTGAACTCACCAGCGACTGCATCATCCATTCCACTTGGAAAGCCGCCGTTGACATCTGCGTAGATCATGGATACTGCGCGCTTCATGAGTAAAATCCAGAGTAGATTGCAGCCAGTCACATCGAGCCCATACATGTGGTGGAAAGTGACCAACGAGCCCGAAGCTTTGTTGTTGGACATGGAGTCCAAGAGCTCGTCCCCATAGTTGCTTTGAAACTGAGTTGGTCCTTTTGATGCTGCGACGGAGAAATCTGATGCTCTTGAGCCTGCTAGTCATCTCGCACGAGGTCGTCACGAGGGGGGCCTCTGCGATATCCTGCACGTATACACCGATAACGATCGACAAGGAGCATATTTTCTAGTTGTTCAAATATGCTGCGTTGTTGCGTGCCCCCATGGATGACAACATCATAGTATTCCCCTGATATGTCTGCCAGCCGTGATAGCGACGCCGCATAGAGGTTGAACCCCACCAATATGAGAAGACCTGCCAGCATCATGCCAGCTCCTGCGGGCGCGCGACCGCCATGGCCGCCTGGGGCGAGAGGGCCCTGGAGAGTGTGCAATCCTCAACCTGCAGGGGTGGGGTCGTTTCTCTCAATGGCTCGGGCCACCTGGAGGAGGAGGAGGACGAGGAGGAGGAGGAGGAGGAGGAGAAAAAGGAGGGAGACGAGGAAGAGAGGAACTGGAACTGGAGGGAGAGAGGAGGGAGAAGGGACGGGAAGGATGAGCAGCATCCAGGAGGAGCAGCAGCAGGAGCCGCAGGAGGATCAGGGGGGCAGGAGTGGGATCTGGCGGCAGAGGCGGGGCACAGAAACGGGCAGCAGGAGGAGGACGAACACGAGGGAAGGAAGGAGGCAGGAAAAGAATAGGCAGGAACTCCTCCTCCTCCTCCTCCTCCTCCTCCTCCTCCTCCTCCTCCTCCTCCTCCAGGCGCCCTGGCCTCGAGCGGCGACATTCATGCGGCGACATTCATGCGGATGGCGCCCGCTCCGAGTGGGCTGGTGACCTCCGCCGGCTCTGTGGGCCAGTCGTGGGCTGGGCGTCCTGGCTCTCGAAAGCCCCAAAAAATTGCGACCATCACTTGGATGGCGGCCCCCCTGGTGGGCCGGAGGCCTCTATCGGATCTGTGGGCCAGTCGTGGGCCGAGAGGATGGAGCCCCTCCCGGTATGCTGGTGGCCTCTGCCGGCTCGTGGGCTAATCGTGGGCCGACCTCCCCGGCCATCGAAAAATGGAGCCCCTCTCACACTGCGCCCCTCCCGGTGGGTTGGAGGTCCCTGCCAGCTCTATGGGTCAATCGTGGGCGGGGCGCGCTGACTCTCGAAATGTCACGACCCTCAAAGGGATGGCGCCCTCTCCCGGTGGGCTGGAGGCCTCTGCCAGCTCTGCAGGCCAATCGTGGGCCAGGCGCCCTTGCCTTTGACATGTGGCGACCCTCAAAGACGGCGACCCTCCCTGTGGGCCAGTGGCGTCTCTCACGATCGCGCCACGGTGGGCTGGAGGCCTCTGTCGGCTCTGTGGGCCAGTCGTGGGCCCTGTCGCCATGTCTTTGGAAAATAAAGACCCTCACGACCTTGGCCCCCGTCCTGGTGGGCTGGATGCCTATGCCAGCTCTGCGGGCCAGTCGTGGGCCTGGCGCCCTGGCCTTCGTAAAAGAGCGATCCTCACGAGGATCAGGCCCCTCCCGGTGGGCTGGAGGCCTCTGCAGGCTCTGTGGATCGTGCTGGGCCGGACACCCTGGCCTTCGGATTCCCGAGATATGATTTAGCATGAGACCCAATCATAATGAGTGCGCTCTCCAAGACGTCTGCCAATTTTGCTGATGTGATTGCTCTTGATGCTGCCGTTGCGGCTCATGCAGTTAACATGCTGGCATGTTGTTCATACTGTTGTTGTCATTGTGCTTATCTTGATGCAAGTGTTGCTTCTGCTCACCTAAGATGTCCACGTGATTTACATTATTCTCCATGTTGGCATCATTGTTGGTTGACTCATTGGTGACCAAGCATGTGCTGCTACTGTTATGCTGTTCTGTTGATACCACCCTTGCTGACAACGCGGTTGCTATGTTGTAGATCCCCAGCCGTGCGCCAGCATACAAGGGTGATATACTGACATATGATGAATGCGTGTCCCGAGACCTCTGCCGGCTTTGCTGATGTGGTTATTGCAGTTGCCATTGATTGTCATGTGGTTGATACGTTGTCATGTTGTGCATTTGATACTGGGGTCGACGTTGGGATACTTTCGCGTCTGCGCTTCCCGGAACTGAGGGCGAGGCCCCCGCTCAGCCACGAGGGCGGGAAGCTCCAGGGCGAGGCCTTCCTTCCACCAGCAAGGGGGAGAAGTGAAGGCCTCCCACGTGGGGTCAGAGTAGATGGTGTCGAACGGTCGCGTCGCATCGTCGATGCATCGGCGGCTGGCAACGCGTCGGCGCTGGCATCATGAGGATAATAGGGCTCGATATGGAGCCGCATCGCCAATGCTTTCGCGATGCGGCGCGATCCTTCGACCCATCTACTCCGAATTGCATCATCAAGGAGGGGAGGGTCACAAACCTCCCAGACGAACAATTTCTGACCTCCCCCAGACCAACCATGAAAGAGCAGCCTTTTTGCCCAGACAGACGCCCAAGAACCAACCAAGACTGCTCGAATCAGAGTCCCCCCAAATCAGACTAAACCGCTTTTGTCGCGAAATGAAAAGCCCCCCAGATAGGGTCGGAGTAGATGGCGTCGAAGGATCACGCCGCATCGCCGATGCATCTCCGAGGTGTTGGCGATGCATCGGCGACGTCGGCGACGCATCGGCGATGTCGGCATGGATAACGTCGCTCTCCGCACCGAGCCGCCTCGGCGATGCCCCGGCGATGCGGCGCGGCCCTCCGACCCCGCCTGCTCGGACCCCGTGTGAGAGGCCCGGACGGCGCTCGCAGGCAACGTGCCCGCCACGCACCCGGCGGGCCGCGGCTCTGCCGGGGCCCCCGCGTCCCCGCGGCTGCTGCGGCGCCCCTTGCTGGTCCGGGGCGAGCCGCCCTTCTCGCCGGTGGCAGCCGCCTCCTTCCGGAGAGAGGCGGGCCGGGCAGGCGAGAGGCGCGCCGGAGCTCGCCTCATACTCGCGGTAACGTCCGTGACTGGCCCCCCCCCCCCTTTCCGAACCCCCCCCCCCTGGTCACGTCACGGTTCGTGCCGGCTCCGTGTGGGAACTGGCCATGCCTAAACATTCCCAGACGGACGGCGCCAGCGCATTTCGTGATGTGACTGGCCCCCCTTCCCCACTCCCCAGTCACGCCCGTGATCGCCAGGGGCTCAAAAACGCTCCCCAACATGAAGGCTCCGGGCCCCAGAGGGCAGGGGTCCTCAAGACGTTCCCAAGTCTCCGAGGATCTGATGCTTCAATTCCCGGCGTTTTTCCTCGATCTCGGCATCCATGACCTGCTATCGGGCCCTGGGGCATCAAACAAGTGGATCCCAGACGCAGAACCACCCCCAGGGGAGGGGTCAAGAGATCTGGGGCCGCGGAAGGGAAGAAGCATATCGGACGATGTCTGAGCTCATGGCCCCGCTTTTGGACCGCTGGGGCCCTCCCACAGGCCCGAGGGCTGTCCAAGAGCGGCTCGGGATAGAGAGCCGGCCCTGGGGAAAGCCCTGGGGACCACGGCAGGCGCATGCGATAGGAAACCCTGCCGAGTGTAAGGGATCTCAGGGCACATCATTCGTCGACCCCGAGCCCCAGGGCTCCGCGGGCCCATCGCGAGACAAGACATCATCGTGGTGCGCCCGCCGGCAGGCCGGTGTCATGCCTGGTGCGCCTACAGTCGTCGTGCTGAAACACGAGGAACGCTGCAAGAGGCACGAAGGGGCGTTTCGGACAAAGGCAGGCCTCGGCTGCGAATTGGCCCCCGACCTCGATCTAAGGAACGGGCCGAACGCCAACCATGGATATGACCTGGAGGCCCTGTCACCAGCGTCCGGCCAATGCACTTCGAAAGTTCCTGCTGACTCCGAGCTCCCGTCTTCTCTCACAGGCTCCTTCGCAGTGCACCTCCAGACCCGATTCCTCCCCTCGGATCCACTCAGGCCTCAGAAGAAATCGGCAAACACGCATGCAATTATTCGTCGGTCAATGCCCCCACCCCAATGATTTAAGTTGGCGGTGGGATTCGTGAGTTGCACTTCGACCGCCGTGCTTCCAGCGCGTGCATACTTTGAACTTGGGGGACAAGGGAGGCAAAAGGCCCACCAGTTCTTCCCGTCTACCGTTCGGTCGGGCATGTTCCCCTGCAGGAAGATATTGGAAGAACAAATTTGAATAGGCAACATAAGATTAAAACATGATTCAAAAATAATCGAGAAATCGTCCCAAAATCATGTTCTGAATATTTCTGACTACTCCTCCTGTAGAAGGACAGGCCCGACTTAAGGTCTACCGCTTTTCCTGCATGGCGAGGCACGGCGGGCGCAGCGAGAGCCGCCGTGGCAACCTCCCCCTCCTCCTCCTCGTCCTCCTCCTCCTCCTCCTCCTCCTCCTCCTCCTCCTCCCACCTCATCAGTATCTTCCTCGTCCTCCAACGAGGCTGCTGCTGGGAGAGGTGGGCACTGTGGCGGAGGGGCGGCGGGAGGCGAGGGCCGCGGGCGGCCAGAGCGCCCTCCGAGCCTGAAGCACATCGGGCTGTGAACGGAGCAGGCCCGGGTCGCTGCAGCTGTCGGTGCGTGCCAGATCCAGGCACGCCTTCACGCGCACACGAGGGGGAGATGCGGTCGGGCAGGGCACGCGCAGACCCATGAGCATAAACTCTGGGAGGTCCGCGCGGACATCTTGAATCCGCGGCGACACTAGGAAACCTAGACTTACCGATACCGCTACATCCCGGACCCCTCCTGGGGCGCGTTCTGACCAGAACTTCGAGGCGAATCCAGCAGTGGCGACGAGGGCCTCCCAGGAAGCCGAAAAAAAGGAAAGCGAGGGAAGGCTAGCGGCGTTTGGGTACCTTGTCCTCCTCTGAGATTCCCTCCCCCGGCACGCGGACCGCTCCAGGGGCGGCGCGGGAGGCGCCGCCCCTGGGTGTCCAGCGCCGACCCGACAAAGCCGCGCGGACCCGCGCGAGAACCAAGGTGGATCTGGTTTGCTGTTCTTCGACTCTCCTCTCGTCGTCTTCCTTACCCGAGCCTGGCCGTCCTCCTCCTCCAACTCCTCCTCCTCCCCTCCTCCTCCTCCTCCTCCCTCCTCCTCCTCCCTCCTCCTCCTCCTCCCCTCCTCCTCCTCCCTCCTCCTCCTCCTTCTCCTCTCCTCCTCTCCCTCCTCCTCCTCCCCTCCTCCTCCCTCCTCCTCCTCCTCTTCCTCCTCCTCCTCCTCCTCCTCCTCCTCCCCTCCTCTCCTCCCTCCTCTCCTCTCCTCCTCCCTCCTCCTCTCCCTCCTCCTCCTCCTCCGCTCCTTCCTCCTCCTCGCTCCGCCTCCTCTTCCTCCTCCTCGTCATCCTCCTTCTTCTCCTCCTCTTCCTCCTCCTCCTCACCTTCCTCGTCCTCCTCCTCCTCCTCCTCCGCCGCCCCCTGCCCCTGCTTCTGACTCCCTGGGAGATTGCCAAGTCCATCGTCCTCCACGTTCCAAGCTCCACGCCCTCCTCAGTGGCGTGAGGCTGAAAGGCAACGAGAAGGAGGGACAGGCTCGGGGGGATACATCGAGCTTGAATCGGCGATACGTTGCCGATCGTTCGGCGATAGGCTCCCGATAGCGACTCCGCACGCTCCTGGGCGGGGTGGGGCTATCGGGCCCCTTTCGGCGATGAATCGGCGATTGGGAGCGGTCCCTCTTAGAAGACTTAAAAGGGCTCCGTCTGGCCGTCTGAGAAGATGCCTACATCTCCAAGGCCACACAGGGCTTCTCGAAGGCAAGATCGCTTCTGAGAAGCCCCGCCGCCTTCTGACAGGGCTGGTCCCCTCTCACTTCCCCCCTCGGCCATCGGGCCATGACTCGGGTCTCTTGCGGCAGTTGGGGACGATCTGGGCACCCCCAGACGTCCCTCGACGAGGCGCAGCTGCGCAAAAACGTCCCGCGGCTGGAAAACCTCTGGGTGCCGACGAGCGCGTCCGAAAACCTTGAGCCTCAAACCCTGCGAGGCACAAGAGAGGAGGGGGAGGAGGAGAAGGAGGAGGAGGCGGAGGAGGAGGAGGCGGAGGAGGAGTTGGAGGAGGAGGAGGAGGAGGAGGAGGAGGAGGAGGAGGAGGAGGAGGAGAGGAGGAATGGAGGGAGGAGTTGGAGGAGAGGGAGAGGATGAGGAGGAGAAGGAGGAGGAGAAGGAGGAAGAGGAGGAGAGTTGGAGGAGGAGGAGGAGTTGAGGAGGAGGAAGGAGGGGGGGAGTGGAGGAGGATGGGGGGAGAGGAGGAAGAGGAGGAGGAGGAGGAGGAGGACGACGACGACGATGACGAGCGGCGCGGGTCCTCCGGCGGGGAGCCGTCCAGTGCCGCCCTGTCCTCCGCGGCCGCCCTGTCGGCGGCCGCCTCGGACGCCTGCGCGGTTTTCCTCTGCGACCGCTGCTTCTCCGCGGCCGCCAGCTCCTCGGGCGCCACGAGGCGGCCGCCGAAACAGAGAGGTCCCCTCACCGTAATGCGAATCCTCCTCCGTCTCCTCCTCCTCCTTCCTCCTCCTCCCCTCCACCTCCTCATCATCATCATCATCATCATCATCAGATCATCAGCATCATCACATAATCATCCATCATCATCATCATCATCATCAATAATCATCATCACATCATCATCATCATCATCATCATCATCATCTCATCACAATACATCATCATCATCATCATCATCATCATCATCAGCAGCAGCATCAGCATCATCATCGCATCAGCATCAGCATCATCATCATCATCCACATCATCCATCATCATTCATCATCATCATCATCATCATCATCATCCATCATCACATCATAATGCCTCATACCTCATCATCACCATCTCAATCATACAGCATCTCATCAATCACAGCATCAGCATCAGTCATCAGCAATCATCCACCATCAACATCATCAGCATCATCATCAGCTTCATAAGCATCAGCAGCATCAGATATATTCAACATCAGCGTCATCATCATCATCATCATCATCATCATCATCATCATCATCATCATCATCATCATCATCATCATCATCATCACATCATCATCATAATCATCATCATCATCATCATCATCATCATCATCATCATCATCATCATCATCATCATCATCATCATCATCATCATCATCATCATCATCATCATCCTTCTCCTCCGCCTCCTCCTCCCCCTTCTCCTCCTCCTCCTCCTCCTGCCGGCCAAACCCTCGGCGGCCCTCGTCTCGGAGGGTCTCGTCGGTTCCTGGACAAGTTCTCCTTGCGCAGGATGCGTCCCAGAAGCTGGGCCTCGCCGAGGGCGTTCCAGGAGCACCCGAATTGCCCCGAACGGTTGCCCGAGATCGGAGCTACGGCCCGAAAACTGGATGGCCCCAAACCTCCAACGGATTGGAAAAAATGAAGACGGATGCTTTTCTCTGTTTTTTGACCTCTGGGGGCACTCGCCGGGTCGGGGGGCTGTTTAAAACGACTCAGATTGAAGACCCAGCCCAGGGGAGAGGGCCGCGACTTCTGGGGGCCGCCTATTGTGAAAAGCAAGACCTCGCATGTCTGGGATGGCGAAAGGCAGTGAAGAGTGGATAAACGATGGTGAATGGGAAGGGGGGCAGGCGGGCAGGCAGGCAGCGAGGGAGGGGAGGCACAAAGGCCCGACAGGAGGAGTTTCGTCAGACAACGACTGGCCACTCCCTCCTCCTCCTCCACCTCCACCTGCTCCTCCTCCTCCTCCTCCTCCTCCTCCTCCTCCTCCTCCTCCTCCTCCCCTCCTCCTCCTCCCTCCTCCTCCTCCTCCTCCTCCTCCTCCTCCTCCTCCTCCCTCTCCCACTCCTCCTCCTCCTCCTCCTCCTCCTCCTCCTCCTCCTCCTCCCCCTCCTCCTCCCCCTCCTCCTCGCCGAACACACTCGCGCACGCGAGCGGTAGTTTCAGCAAGCGACCAAGCGAGAAATGACAGGCCAACACGCAAGAAGGCTCCGTGTTTGGTTTTTGAACAATGAAGCAAATCGGATCTGGGTTTCCACCCCGACTCGGAACCAAATTCAAGCGGGAAGCCGCCACGCGCACCGAATCCGGGCAGCGGCACGGGGCCCACGACGGCAAATCGAGGTTCGACGTGCAGAACAAATGCGCCCTCTCAAGCGCCATCCCGACCGATTTCTTCGAGCAAAACTCTTGAGGGGGAGGAGGAGGAGTAGGAGGAGGAGGAGGAGGAGGAGGAGGAGGAGGAGGAGGGAGGAGGAGGAACAGGAGGAGGAGGAGGAGGAGGAGGGAGAGGAGGAGGAGGAGGAGGAGGAGGAGGAGGAGGAGGAGGAGGAGGAGGAGGAGGAGGAGGAGGAGGAGGAGGAGGAGAAAGAGGAGGATTCGTTTGTATTGTTTTGTTTCCCCCTCTGCCCCCTCAGCCTCTGCAGCCCTCCCCTGCTTGTGTGGACACCATTGCGGTAGATCAAAAGGACTTGGGGGATGCAGCGCTGCGAATAGGAACGGGACCCGCAGCAAAAGAGGCGACGCGCTCTCTGCTCGGCCACGCGCGCCCAGGGGCGTCCCTGCGGCGGCGCCCGCCGCGACACGCGATATACCCTGCGGGCGGAGGATAGCGCGTCGCTCCGCTCCGCGGGGCGGCAGGCTCGGAAGGGCTCGAGACGCCGTCGCTGGGCGACCAGGAAGCGGACAGCGTGTCGCGGCGCCAGGAAGCGGACAGCCTGCTGCTCCTCCCCCTCCTCCTCCTCCTCCTCCTCCTCCTCCTCCTCCTCCTCCTCCTCCTCCTCCTCCCCCTCCCCCTCCCCCCCCCTCTCCCCCCTCTCCCTCCTCCTCCTCCTCCTCATCCTCCCCCTGCTCCTGTTCCTGTTCCTCCCCTCGCCTTCCTCCTGCTCCTCCCCGCCCTCCTCCTCCTTCTCCTCCTCTTCTGCCTCGACGCTGCGATCTCCCTGCTCCCTGGCCAGGCCCATCCTGAACCCAGGGCGAGCCACCCGGCGGAACGACACGCTCTCGAAAAGTTCCCGCCCGCAGACTGCCGCGATCCACGCGGGCGCGCCCCATGCCCCGCACGCCCCCCGGCCTTGCGGGGGGCGCGCCGCACCGCGTCGGTTCCTTGAGCGCCCTCTGCAGCTCACCGGAGTCGTGGATGTGGTGCAGGAGCCTGAGCAGAGGAGCAAACAGAACGTGCGGGTGAAGGAAACAACTGTGCAGCAACAATGTCCGGAGCAGAAAGAACGACATTCCCCAGTCCCCCCCTCGGCCTTAACATTGGCAAGTGTTGCGTTCGAAATGCTGGGCTCAAGATTTGCCTGGCCCCGCCTTTCTGGGAATGCTACGCTTGTTCAATATCAGGGCCGGGGGGCGGAGGGGGCTCAAATATTTGTGGCAACATGTTTTCCTTCAACGGCATTTGGACGCACAAAACGGGTACGGAAAAGATGGGCCCGACTGTCAGCAACAAGTGATGTCCAACACAGACCGTGGCCTCTTTTGGACAGGCAGTCTTCTGAGATTTCTGTCTTAACACCGACAACGAGTCCTGCTCAAAAAAGCAAATATAAATCACTATTGATCCTCGTAACCATTCTCTCCGTCACAGTACCGAACACTCGCGCCTAACGTGTCGCGGCGGCGGCCCTGGCGACACGCTGTGCTTTGCGAGGTGACAACTTGTCGCTCCGCTCCGCGAGGTGGAGCAAATCGGAAAAAATATCGGGACGTTGACGCTGAGGGACCGGGGAGTGGATAGCTTGCCGCGCCGCAGCCTCGGCAGGCTGGGAGAACTGACGGCGAAGTTCAACATGTGGCGGGGAAGCGTCGTCCCAGAGGGCCCAGCGGGCGGTGGATATGAACATTTCTGGCCTCCCACGAGTTCGAATCTACCCTTGTCCACCGCCCGCCGACGCCCCCGTGGTGGGCCAAACATGGCGAAGCGACGCGCTGCAATTCGCCACCGTGAGCATCACGTACCCTCAGGAGGTCCGCGCGGACTTCTCGGGTCGGCGCTGGAGCGTCCTCCCCGGGCGCCGGAGGGGATCCTGCGCCAGCCCAGCCGGATCCGCGCGGGCCCTGAAGGCTTGCGCTCGTGGGCGTTTTCTTGTTCGGCGTTTCGACACTGGGCGCAGGGGTGGGTTAAGGGGGGGGGGATCTGGCTCCGGACCTCTGCTAAGTGTGATTATTTGCAGCAGTGCGTCCTCTGGGGGAGACTCCACCTGCTTGAAACAAGCGCCAAAAACAGCCAAGACCTAGTCCATATGGGGGGGGAGGGGGGGCGAGGGCCCGCGCGGAACAGCAAAACCATGAATCAGAAAACGATCACTAATTAGTGCCCCTTGTTCCTGTTCTCGACCGAAAGGTCTGCACCCCCAGAAGGAGGGGAGACACACTCAAAATTGAGCCAAAGAGGCCCCGAGGCGACGCGGGGAGGAGGTGCGGGAGGGAGGAAGGGGCAGGAGGAGACTCAGGCCCGAGGGCACACGGAAGGCACACGGAGGGCACAGACAAAAAGCAAGACCGCGACGGCAGGTGCGCCCAGACGAGCACTGGCTGGGCCTCGGAAGATCCTGCGCACGCGGACGGCCAGCCTGGTTCGCCCCAGTGTTGCACATTCCGCGTCGGCATCTGGCATCTGGCGTGACGGCGCCTCTCCACCCGAGCTCCCAGCACTCCTCCAGAAGTCGCAACAGTGCGCTCTCGAGTCGGTGCCTCTTTACGTCCGCGAGTTTTACGGACGCACCTTGGCCCATTCGATGCGTGAAGAGAATTGAAGGGCGCGCAGTGTCCCCGCGAAGCGAGACTGGACACAGGAAGCTGTTGCGCTCAACGGTTCAGGGGAACAGGGTATGGCGGACTTCCGACGTCTGGCAATCATCTGGACACTCTGGACCCTGGGGACACAATGCAGGAACAGAAGGCTTCTCACCATTCGCCTCCTCGAGACTGTTTTTTTCATGGGGGCTAGCACGTGTTACGTGGGGGGGGGAGGGGGAAGGGGGGGAGTTGATGGTAACGGCGGCCGCCGCGGCGAGTGCTAGTACCAATGCGACCACTAGTGCTAGCACGAGTGCAAGTTCTACGAGTAGTACTAGTAGCACTGG